GCAGTATATTTCTTGATACGTTTCTTCTCCAGCTATTCCTCAAAACTCTTCTTATGCTATCCACTGATGCCTTCCTAGCCCCAGTCACCTGCTAGAATCTCTAAACATGTGACTCATGTTCCATTTCAATATTAATCTTGGTGTGATTGCTACATCTTTCTGTGTGCATTTCTGTTTTTTCATTGGGTTGTAAATTAGCTATTGTCAGATCTGGCTCTTTGAGTAGAACTTTGGCTTTTCAGTTACACAGTGAGTAATTTTCCATCCTTTTCTGGTTTACAATCCTTACCTAAAGGAAGAGGTGAATGTGAAACCCTTAAATGACTTAGTTGAAATGGTTGTCTACAAAAGAAGTTTCCAAAAGCAGTTGTGAAGCATTCCAGTGTGTGGATCTTGAAAGATCTGGTGTTGCATTCTTTGGTTAACATGGTGTTTAGTTGAAGCACTGAGTTTCATTTTTAACTCTCTTTTTTAAGAGATGAGAGAAAATACTCAAAAACACCAGGAGCTTTATTAAAGTTGGCATACTTTGCTTAATGCAGTAAAATTTATTATTTAAAAATACTCACAAATGAGTGCATTTGTGAATAAAGCCACATCTTACCTGGAATTAACCTTGAAATCTGACAAACCTGGGAAATAGCCTTTCTTACCTATAAATACCCAACCCTACATGGGTTGTGCTTTTACTGCTCTGCTTAAGGAACATCTAAAGGTGGTAAAAGCAGACTTAGGGCTGTCCAGAGCACTTAGTTCCTGCTAAGGATGGTACAGAATAACATAATGGACTTAGCTGCCAATAGAGGACACTTCTTTCCTCCAGTGTAAAAGTTACCAGGGATGTCGTTGAGAATAAAACTTTGCTTTAATGGGCTTTGAAGTGTAAAACTTGAGGTTTGGTTTGCTCAGAACCTCATTTTGTCCATTCTGCTCCCTCTGTTGGAGTGAGTTCCCATTCCCAAGTAGGTCACCTCGGTTAAGAGTTTGAGCCTCAGATTTCATTCTGGAATAGTTTGTAGATGTATTGGTGTCTTATGCATGGGTATTGTACCTGTTGGGCTTCGGTCTCACCCTTTAAGGAATGCAGGGTTACAGTGGACCTGAAATGGCTGAAGCCGTGGGTTTGGCTATAAGGGACATCTATTGTTGCTGCAATCTTCTAATACAGCAACAAATAATTGCAAAAGGAGCTGAAGAGAAAAACTTTGTAAACTCAGATGTTTTGTAATTGTTGCCTTGAACCTTTAGGCAGGTTGGGAATGGATGGCATGGAGTGCCAACATGTTACCAGTGGTTTGAAGGTAACTTCGTCAGGATTACAGGACTACCCAGGTCCCTGATTTATCATGACAAAAATAACAGTGCTTGGAAACCAAACCAGTAACTAGTAGACAACAGAAGCTTGAAAAATGGGCGGATGCCTAAATCACTTTACAGAAGGAATGGTAGACTCATGTCATCTAGGAAAAAAAATGGGTTTTCCAGTATCTTCCTCACATGTAGGATCACTGCATATGTCTTCATGGAGGAGTGTATTTTTGTAACATTATTGAGATTTCTTACTATAATGTGCCTCAATTGATAAGTAAACAAATGCTGTGAAATCTTTTAAAGCAAATGTAAATTTCACAGGTGTAGAGGCTGCTATTAATATTTTGGCCATTCCTGTGGCATCTTTTTGAGGTATAATAACTTGGAGAACAAGAATGTGTTCTTAATTCTAATACCTCATCAGTTCTGTTTACTGCTAATTATTTTACAAGATTTAGAGAAGCATTTAAGATGAAGGTCATGGGGTTACTTGTGAAGTTCTTGGTCCAACCAAGTGTAGGTGAACCGAGTGGGGAAATTTGCCCTGAAATTGCTTTTGGCAGGTCCTGTGAGTGTCTGAGGCAGAGGGCTAACCCAACTGGAAAGAGCCTTTTAAAGGGTGACTAATGCATAACTAAATTACCTTTTTTAGAGGTGAGGAAAGTTCATGTCAGTAATTAGATTTCTATATCTTAAGCTTATTAAAAATAACTAAAAATAATTTTAATGGTCTTATTTATGGGATATCTACTGTACGTATGTTAGTACTTCTCAGTGTTTGATTGTGTCAATAATGGAACAACTTTGTGGTGGTTTTGTTTCATATTTTGATACTTCTGTCAAGACATTACCATGAAAAAACATTCAAAATTTTAATTAATCTTCAAATGCCTAAATGGATTTGAAATTAATTTGGTGAGAACTGGGAAAAAAAAAAACAAACCCAAAGCAACCCCAAAACTAGCTTAATGGGAGGGAAAAACACCTTTCAAAATATTTAATACATTGTCTTAACTGAGGATGAGTTGAATGTTTGAAATAGAGCATTTCTTTAAACTTGAAAGTTCTGTTTCTGAAAGCATGAATGTCCTGGGGTTGAATACTCCTGCAGCTATTCATGTTTCACAGTGCAAAGTGAAATTACCAGGTGCCATATTCCACTTCTATGTGCACGACTTTCCCATTGTATTTAAAACAGGGAAGTATAGAGCAGCATAAAACAGGACACATGGGTACTTGTGAAAGTCAGACTGGGCTTGTTGCACTGCTTCCAGTGCTCTTTGCTTTGCTGTAACTGGTTATTTTGAGATGAGACTGGGGAAGCTGGGATGCGGAGGCAGAGACCACTAGATGGCCCCACTGGTTTTTGCTGGGCTATGGGTAATTTCTGCAACCCTTGTCAGAATCTGCCCAGGATTATCAGGGAGCAGAGTGGTGGTGAAATTGGCTTTCAGACTAAAATGTGGTTAAACCTATACATATTCAAAAAAATAAATTGGTGTTGGAATGCAGATTCTCAAAATCATGAAGACATTTTAAAACCCTTTTTGCATGTCAGCATTGGTTTCAAAATGATGTTCTTAACACTTAGTAACTTCCTGTACCTAAGTTTTGCATGTGAGGAGGAGTAAGGTTTTACTTGAAGTAAATTGAGCTTGTATTTCTTGGAAGAAGATAGAAAGAAGGGAACATTTGGTTTATATTTATCCACGTGGATATTGTTTGTTCAGATTGGTTTGTCACTCTCCTGTGGGCTTGGTTGCAGTTCCATGATGAGTACAGTTGGAATTACCTTGCTAAAGGTAGCTAGTGTGACTTGTGACCGTTTTGTCTGATTTCTGGTGTGTCCTTTCCCACCAGTAACTAAACCAGTCATTCCATTTGCTTGGAAGTGTGTTTGCTGTTGCACTGTACATCTTTCATGAGCTGGAAAACTGGGTTAAGATGGTGGAATGTCTTGTGTCCAGTCACCCACCATCTGTCTATAAGAAACCAGTTGTTTTCATTGGTTTTGATGGATCTGTGTCTTTGAAGAAAGGAGCTTGAAGAGTACTTACAAATTTTGGTTTGTTACAAGAACCTTGGTGTTCTGCTAAGCAATGTCAGCTTCAGGGGGTGGGCCAGTGCAATGAAAATGGTTGCAAGAGCAAATTTCTTTGATTTCCCACCACAGATTTCTCTAGTGGTTTAAAAATTTCAAATGGAATTCATGGATCCTGAAGGGGTTCTTGGACTTCTGATATTTTCTCCCATTTTTTATAGTTTTGGTGAAACTTTTTATTCTTGAATTGATTATTTGACATTGTTTCTGATAAAAGTAGATATTGTGGACTGTGTAACATGGAATGAAGCATGAGTTACATGTTTAAATTATCTTCAAGGTACAGTAGTTGAATGTCTCAGTTTAAAGCAATGATGTGTGTTCCAACAGCATTTTTCTTCTAATTTTTCATAAAGAATCCATTCAGATGAAGAGTGTCAAAAGGAGTCTACGAATGAGACACCAAGATGGCAGTTCCACTGGGGAATGAGAGGTTGAGGAAATGGACTAATGCATGAGTGCTGGGATGTCTGTCCGAGAAAAGGATGTTAAAACGTGGACTCTCATGTTATTAAACCAGAGAAGATCTGGGTTGTGATCATCCTATCAAAATGGACTTGCATTTGAATTAATCAGTGACTGTCCAGTGATGGATCTGTTTGAGGACTGGGTGGCAAAATTTTCGTTTTGGGTTGTTTTTGCATGACAGGCAAATTAATTTGGTAAAAGATCTGTTGCTACTGCTTTTGAGAAAATGTAATTTATGAAGTGATTTTAAATAAAAGGTTTTGGTTTATTTCACGCTTTGTGTTTGTCCTTTCTGGCTGAATATTTTTTATTGACTTGATACTGAAGTGGGTTACATTTTTGGTTGCTATTAAACTGAGAAATACTTTAGCTAAGTACTGAAGGCAAGGTAAAATTTTGTGCTATACTTGGTATCAAATGTGGTTTTCATTTGCAAATTATGTTCACTTTGCCATGACTTCCAATGAATTTTTATTCGCTGGCTTGTTCATTCAGGTGCTTAATATGAGGGGTTTTCAGTACTTGGCCTATTGTCAGGGCACTGCTGCTGAACTTTGTGAAGTTATTTTAAGATGGAATTGATACCAATTGAAGGCTGAGAAAACACGACAATAAAGGAGTACTTGAATGTTTTGTATAACTTTTTTAGGTATGTTCTTGGGCTGTGTGTGCGTACAGAAACTTTTCAGCAGATTTCCTGGACTACAGACTTCCTGAACAGTCTCTTTGGTCTTAAAATTGTTCTGTGCAAGTGTCCAATCTGCTTCACTGCTCTTGCATGTAGCCTCAGTGTCACAATACTGTGCCATGTGTTTGATGAGAAAAAAGTTATTTTTGATATGGCTACAAATGACATATTAACCTTTGCAAATGAATTCTAAAATGGTTCTGATATTTGAAGTCATGATTTCCTTACAGGTTTCTAGTGGATCTAATAATTTAACTGTAGGCATTTCTTCTCTATATGTTTCACCTGAAACTCAGAGTTGTCTTTGTTTTGTGCTGGAGGGTCAAAATGGTAAACCTGGTGCTGAGATAATCTTGAAATTATATTTGAAAACCCAAACAAATTCCTGTTCATTGTCTGCGTTTATTTGCCTTGCTCGGACTTTTTTGGAAATACCCATTTTTGCCATGATGAGTTGCTCATACCTGTTCCATCCAGCCATTTTGGTGGTACACGCTTGCCCCACTTTGGTTTTGCCATGTGTTTTTATGGTGGAGTTGGATTCTGGGACCAACCTGAAGGGTTTCTCATTCAAATGAGTGGATTTCCTTAGTGTTACCAAAAAATATTTGGAATAGTCTTGCATTGTGGTTCTTTAGTTCTTGCAGTTGAGGTGCAAGGAGTCTTCTGTGAATAATTGGTGAAGTGGAATTTTTTTAATGACTTGTGGCATTGGAGAGTTCCTAATGAAACCCCTTGTGGAAAGAGGATGGATGGTTGTAGGAGATAAATGGCAGCTCTGTGGAGGAATTAAAGGGGATGGTGTTGGTTCTACTGGTCGAAGGCAATGGTTTTGGGCTGTTGGGATGCTGTGCCATGGATGTTCCCATAGAACCCCAAACTAGCCCATTGCCCCTTTGTCCTGCAGTGGTCCCCCAGTGGCTGGTGGCTCTGTCTTGTTGTGATGCTTATGAATATGCAAAATGTTCTTATGCTTTAAGGGGTTGGTTTTGGTCATGGAAGACAACTGGTAGTCAGAATCAAGTGGTTTGGGGGTACTTGGATCACCTCCATTCCCTTGGTGATACATCCTCTCAATTCCAGGATGTCGTGTTGGAGATGTCCATTGATTGATTTGCAATTCTGCAGCTTGGCTATTGTGCAGCTTTAAAATTAATTTGTTCTGTTAAAATCTGTTAATGACCATGAATGGGTTAAGAAAGTGCATTAGAAATGAGCAGTTTGATGGAGTTGGACTGGCTTGAGCGCAGTGCTTTGGCGTAGCTGATGGAAGCGGTGTGGCTGCTGGGTTTGAGTTGTGGGGGGAACCACTAGGGAGGCGCTGTGGAGCTGCAGGGCAGTCTCAGCTCTGTGGGGTTGGCTTGGGAGCGGAGGATGCTCCTGTCCCCCTCTGCCAGTGCCAGCACTGGGGGGCAAAGGGAAGAGCTCTTGTCTGGGGATTCTGCCACCGAACTGGGGAGAAGCTGCCCCTTGGGTGGGGTGACCCCCAGGGTGGGCTGCTGCTGCCTGCATGGCTGTGAGCTCCACTTCCATGCCTTCAAAATGGCTTGTAACAGCACCACTTCCTGTCCAGGGAGGAAGTAATTTTAGCCCAGGCACTGAAATATTTAGCAAATCTTTAAAACAAAAGGCACAAATTCCATTTCTTTCTGGCTTCCAAAGGGTGCCTGAGCCACATGGGGTTAAGGTGCCCCTTGAGCTGGGGTAGTTGGAAGGAGCCAGGGCTGTGGGGTAGCAGGCACCCTTTAGGTGGAGGCTCTCTCTTTTTTTGGTAGAAATGAAGGGGTGGGTCTATGGTACATCACCTGAGTTGTGGGGTAAATGTAGAGAGTGTCAATCAAAGGCAGAGCTCAGAGCTGGGAAGGAGCTCTAGATGGCGGCTGTGCCTTAGAGAGAGCGCGCTCAGCTCCGTGCCTTCCCCAACACTTTACGCAACTTTCCCTAACTTTCAGGCAGCCTCAGGGGGCCCCCACAGCCCCTTGCCTCTCCTAGGCACTAATCGGGGGCCGAGCGGACCTTTTTCGGGCAGAAAAGCAGCTTTTGAGGGCTCCCTTTTCGTGCCTTGCTGGAAAGAAGAAGCCGTGGAGAGAGCCCAGGTCGTTGTTTTTCCAGCTTAGAAGCCATGGCGTACCTCCATTTTTGTGCGCTCTCCTAATGAGCTTTTTCCCCCGGACATTTTTGTACTAATTACCGCTTCTTTTGCTTTATCGGCAGCATATTTTTGGGATTAGAATATATATTTTTTTTTATTTTCTGAAATTTATATTTTATCGGTATAATTACAAATATTTTGGATCTAATGTTTTTCCACTACCCGAAACTAATATCGACTTGGTCCTGGCGGCGGTGCATGGATCAGGTAGGTGAGCAATTAATAATTTTTAGATTTCTGCCGTTTTGAATACTTTGATTTTCGACCGATTTGTGCTGTATTGGGATGACGCAATAAGATACAGAGATTATTTGCATCCAGTGTTACTTTGGGAAAGTTTGCAGGATGCTCCTCTCCTGTGTTTATTCTCGGATTTTTCTTGTAAAAATGATTATTTGTTTTAAATCTCCGGTTTGCCGTGTTGATCAGTGCTGTGTATTGTTATAACAATATCATTGCAGCGTCAGGACTTTGTTCCTGATAATGAAAGCCAGTGAAACGAACTGGGACCTTACCTTTCTTTCAACTTTTGACAGTAAATACCTGGGCACAGGACTTCAAAGCAAACAGACACCCCTGACCCCCTTTTAATATTTAAGAATAAAAAGATGATGAGAAATAAGGACAAAAGCCAAGGAGAGGAGGGTTCAGTCCACAGCAATGCATCGAGGTATGACCTATCAACTTTCTTTTTTTTTTTTTTTTTTGTAAAACCTGTGAATACCCTGTTTACTTTGACAGCCTTGGGTTACTGTCAGTGCTTAATAGAAAACATTTTACTGATTTTGCTTCCTTTTTAAGGAATGACCTTGAGATTGTTAGCATGCCACACCCTAATTTTTTTTGGTAGCAATTTCTGAAACTTGTGTTGTGACTTAAGGGCCCATGTCCTAGGCAAAAGGTACTGTACCTTTATTCAGGGCAGCCCTTGCCCCTGTATGATGTTTTTCCAGCTTTTGAATTTCAGTTTTTAGGTTTTTTGTGCTGTGAAAAATGACCTTGTCGGTTTAGCCATTGCTGCATTGCACCATTTTACATACAAGGCAAATTTTTCTTTGAAGAATCTCAGAAGTCTAAACTTTAACTGAGGGCCATACAGAAGCCTGGTGTAGTAGTAAATTATAGTAAATAGGCACAAGAAAAAGTTACATGAATGAAAAAAAGCTTATTTTAAAATATAAACTGGAAAGTGCCTGTTTGTCGGATACCTCTTACTTCAAATTTTATTTGAGCTTGTAGAACTTTGATTCTGTGGAGGTATTTTAGAATATTTTTATACAATTTAACCAGACTTTGTCCTGCTGGTGATGGCATTTTGTATCATAAAATATACACGGGGACTGTTAACAAGAGGCACCAAATGATTTGCCTGTTTTGTTTAACGTATTTTTGCTCAGAGTATTTTTATTTACTTTTGTCAAGTAATGAGATTCTTTACAGATTTTTAGAAACTTAACCTTAATGTGGGAAAAGTGTGAAATACTGAAAATGTTTGTGTGCTGTGAATGCAGAAGTACAATTACCAAATCGTTCATTTTGTATTTAAAAGGTCACTTCTTCCAAAAACTGGAAATTAAACTATATGCATTTTTGGGTTTTGGTTTGTAAATATTACTGAGTTTTGCATTTTGTTAATTTCAGTTGAATCTTGGCTTGTTTCTTTTTCTCTGGTGTTGCCTTCCTGCATTTTTAACCGACATTAATAAAAAAGAACTCTGAACTGTCTGTTGTATCACATGTGCTCTATGTGATGTTCAGGTGTTTGAATAGTATTCCTGATGTCCAGTATTTAACCTTCCTTAAGCACACGAACTTGGAATAGTGTGGCAATATATATATTATCAAATTACTGTAACCTTCTGGTATAAACTTGGTATTCTGGGTGTTTTAAAAATGCAGTCAAATTTTAAATTCTAAAATAAATGTGGGTAAGATTGTTTAATTTGAAATTATTAATAACTAAATTAGCCTCAGGGATTGTTGAAGCACTTAAACAGAGCTTTTCTAATAATGCAGTTTAAAAACACATCAGATTTTCATACTGTGCTTTCTTTACTGTAAATGCTGCACACAAAATATTATGTAAAAAGTCATCATTTATAAAAATTATTTTACCGATTATATAAATTTTTATGCTTTTTTGAAATGGAGATTATCAACAAGAGCAGCAATAGACATAATTTGTTGAGGAAATTGAAAGCATTTTACCAGTGTTGGAAAGGAATAAGAGCTAAAATCTGAGCCATGTAGCAGGAGTCCCACAGGGGGTTTTCTCCTTTGGGGTATGAGATTTGCATAGTGTCTGTGTGCTTTTGGGGTTTTCATTGAAAGGTTATTTATCATAATTGATCTATTTACATTTAACACCTGTTGTGTGAGGTAACCCTTCTCCCTCCTCACATCTTTTTTTTTTCTCTAAATTAACCTGCTCTGTGTGACACCAACACACCTGAAGTGTGGGAACAATTGAGCACAGGATATTTGCAAGTGAACCCTGTTGAGCTTATTTGTGAGGTGTGAGTCAGCTCAGTGTCATAAAATGTGCTTTACTTCCTGAGGTTGACCTGAAGTAGGGGAAATGATTTCTAGGAAGTAAAGCCACCACTTTGCTGTATTGTAACCCTGAAATGCACCGGTGTCTGCACTTCACATGCTGCTGAGACCAGCTTGGCATCCATGGAAGTACCTGAACAGGGAAGCTGCACAGTCCTGGTGGGAACCCTGGGTGGTGGAGGAGGTGGATATATAGCCAGTGCCATTCACCTGGGCTGGAGAAAGGTGTTGGAGTGCAAGAAAATACAGTTTTTGCACACCACTGTAGTGCCCTAACTGAGGAATTGACTCCTTTTCCAGTTCTAAGGGAATACAAAGGCCTGTGTGGAATAAACAAAAGTGCCTGAGAATTGTCCCAGTGCAGACGATTTATTCCTGGGGAGAGAGCTGGTGTTAACTCTTTACAGTTTGTAAGCTGAGGCTTGTACTCCTGCCTTTCCAGGTGCCCAGCAACACCTGTCCTTTGTGCTTTGACAGTAAATCGAACTTGGAGCTGCAGGATTCATGCAACTTTGCCCAAAGTAAAAGTTGCTTTGGGTCTGCTGCAGTTCCTGCTGACCCCCACCAGTGTGCCTGGGATTTGCATAAGTAATTGAAGACAATCTGCTGTATTTTCTAGCATCTTCTGTGCTGCGTGTCTGAAGGGCAGGTAGTGTGAAGGTACATCACCCACGGTCGGCCCTCATGGGAAGTACAGAGCCAGAGGCAGGCTGGGGCCCCCCTGAAGCCCAGGAGAGAGTTTTGCAGAGATAGCAAGTAACAAGCGTGGGATACGTAGTTTTTCCTTTCCTTGGCCTGTATCTGTTGCAATTGCTCTCCCACCTCTGAAATACCCGGTGTGGGAACGGTTTGAGCTGCAGACCCTGCCAGGCTGGGCCAGCCCTTGTGTCTGTATCCAGCTCTGGGCTTCTCTAGCATGAAAACAGCTTTTTTTGGGGGAAAAAAAGGATGCGGTGGGTTAGCTCCCAGGCCTTTTTCTGTGCAGAGCTGGAGCTCCGAGGTCTGAAATGGCGTGTTTTTGCTCAGCAGCCACCTCCCAGCGCAGGGCTTTGCGCAGCACAACACCCTCGCCTGACGTGGCAGCCATTTTATGGAGATGTCGGTGCACACGAACCAGCGTTTGGCGGAGGGGGGGAGAGGAGGGAAACGGTTGCGTTAAGCACAAACTGCCCCCGGTGCGTGGCGCTGGGAGCAGGGGGCAGCCCGTTGTCGCTGGGGCAGCGGCGGGGCCGGGGCGGGCGGCTCGGGCGGGCGGCGGCGGCCGGCGCTGTCACAAAATGGCTGTTCTTTGTGCCGCACTGCTCGGGCGCCGCGGGAAGCGGCCGCGGGGTTCAAAGGCGCCGGCAGCGGGCGGCTGCCGCGGCCTCCCCCCGCTTCCGCTCCGCTGCCGGGCGTGGGCTCGCTCCGCTTTCATTTTAAGGGCTTTTCATTTTAATACTGCAAGCTATTTTGAGCAGTCACTTGAAAAGAAGCAGGGCTATTTTTTGCTGCGGATTTTTTCTTTCTTTTTTTTTTCTTTATTTAAACTTCAAAAGGAATTGTAGAATGCCATAGTATTCCCAGAACATCTGTCTGTCTGTTTTTTTCTTTCTTTTTTTTTTCTTTCTTTTTTTTTCTTAAGGAGAGGTACAGCTTTCAGTATCCTTAAATCACCAAAATTCACTGTTTGCTTTCAGTGTGCATTTTGCAACTGATTTTCTTTCAGCTGAGTAGAAACATTGAACACATTTGTTAAAATGCCTCAGACTGTGGGTTTCAAGTTTTTATCCGGGTGATGAGTTATTTTTTAGCTGTTGTGGCCATGTGCATGTGCCGAGGCTTTCAGTTTCATTTGCACCGCTGCATTCTTCAACAAGGATTTTTTTTCTCTCTCCCTTTTAAGCTTTAACCCTTTGTGAAACTGTCCAGAGCCTATTTTGAAAAGGAAAAATGCTTGATCAGTGCGGGACACAAAAGGAATAATGTACAAGGAATTCATATGAATCGTGATGTAATCTGTGTGCAGCACAAAGGAGATTGTTCTTGTTTTGCTTTGTTACTTCTGTTTCACATTACCCTCGTGAAGGAAGTGTCTCATCTAATTACGCATGCACAATCCTGAGGCTTTCAACTCCTCTGTTCCCTGTTTTGTGATTCCTGCCAGAGATGGATACAATATATACAGTGCTATAAAAAGAGCTCACCAACTGCAAGAAGCTACATTTAGCTGTAATTCATTGTCTTCTGGATTGTTCTTTTTTTTTTTTAGTTAAACATTTTAAGCTAATTAATCAAATTGCATAGGTTCTCTAAAGTGCTTGACTTTTGCTGAATAAAAATTGGAAAATGGCAATAAAGAGCTTACCTGGGTACTTGTGTAACCCAGTTTCTGTGGCACAGTCTGTGCTGGGCTGGGGCGTTGCCATGGCTGAGTGCACGTGTGTGCAGGCATGTTCCCAGCTCCCTGAGTGCCTCCAGCCAAGGGGAGGTGACGTGGCTCGGATCGCAGACTGGAGCCTGTTCCCCTTTCTGTCGGCTCGGTGTTTCACCTGCCGCACTCTGAGGGCAGCAGTTGCCCTTATCTGCACCTTCCCCCACTTCCTCCAGCGCTGGAGCCGAGCTGTGGCGCGGCGTTTCCGAGAACGCGGATCCCGGCTGTGCCTCGGGAGCAGCGCTGGGGCTGCCATAACCACATTTCTGTGTTCAAACAAACACTTCCACTGCCAGCTTTGACAGGAACGAGGCAAGGCACCGATCTTTCATTTCAATCTCCCTAACTCGGTATAGGGATAAACCAATTAGTGTCTTTGTTTGGGTGTTTTACCCGTAAGAAAGTTGCTCATAGCACTAGCAGGTTACTGAGCTGCCAGACTTGTCTCTGAGGAGTTTTTATACTGGGACATCTATTAATTCAGGTTTCTCAGTGCTAGTGTTGAGGAGCAGGTGAGAATACCAGTGGCAGGTGCAGGTGAAGTACCTGAGACAGCAAGCAGGAGTCTAGGGCCTGAACTGAAGCTTCCAGCTCCATGGACTGGCTGCTTTTCAACTCGAGACAGCCCAAGTAAACCTGCTTTGGGTAGGTTTGGCAGCTTACATTGGCATTGCATCTCTGATACATAACCTGGAGCTGTGTGTATCCACTGTATCTTGTTTCAGGTTGCACACGACAGTCCCAGCAGGAATTGCAATGTTAAATTAGGCTAAGTTCTGGAGATGGAAAAGGCTTCTAAATCTCTCCTTGCCCCTAGCTGAAATCCAGCTCAGGAAGGAGCTGATAATGGCTGGAGAAAGCTTCTGTTCTGCTTTATCTCTCCTCTCCTTCAAGGAAAATAAATACAAACAGCACAGCACTGGGGGAGGGGACGGCCTGGATTACCATAATTAGATAGAAGCAGCCTTCCAGCAAAGGATGTGCTGTTCTACTGACATGGTGTCTTACATCAGTCTTTCTGGTGTGCTTTTATTAAAGCACATGTGCTGAAATGCCATGTGAAGATGCTCTTTCAGGAGGTGCTGGTGTGTATGTAAAGCCCACCTTCACATCCTGTAGAGGAGACTTGAAAGAAAAAAAGCCTAGAGAAAAAGTTTACCCCCTAGTGACTTGCAGTGAATCTTTTCTAAGTCTGTCACACTGTTAATGCCTCATTTTCTTAGAGAGGGAGTATCTTTTGGATATAATGAGACAAATGTTGCTGATTCTTTCCAAATGTGCAGCAGTTCATTTTACATTACAGCTTGTGTAGCACTGCTGTTAAATTAGAGTTTTCAATCTTCACCTTCCTTCATATTTACCTGTGGGCTGAGATAACCTACTCTGTACTACATGTGCTTTTTTTGCCTTGACTAATAAGGGTTAAAAATTAAAAAGTTTTTAACAGTGATCTCAGATTCCTTTCTGGTATTGTGCTGGAAGTGCTGGCATGGCGTTTGATCTTGGCAGGACTCAGTTCAGTGTGTCTGCCAAGCTCCACAGACGGGATGGGATGCTTAACACTTCATTGCTCACCAACCTTTACCCCAGCTATGAACAAGGGTGTTGCAATGTCAAGAATTCACTGACTCCAGAACACCCAACTCCTTAGGAAAAAGCCATGTTGCAACTATTTATGTTTCTTGCAAGTGTTATTGTTAGGTATAGATGACTTAATAGAATTGCTAATACGTTAATTATAGGAGTCGTTTGCATCTCTCTCATGGGGAGGAATCTCTGTACTTCAGAGTTGTCACCAGTTGAGATTTGAATGCCATGTGCTGTCTGCAAAACTTAGTCTTATTGACGAGCCTTGGTTAAAAACAGCTTTTAAGAGTCACTTGGAATAACCCCCTCAGGCCAGATCAGGCTCCCTTTTTCTGAACTGCAGGTCACCTGGAACCATGAAGGAATTTCTGCACCAGCATGTTCCTGTTAATGGGGTTTGGGCCCTAAATTTCCATAAACACCCATGTCTTTAATCTGATAGGTTTTAAAGGAAGCTTACAAACGTTAACGGAGAAAAAGCACCCGCTTTTTCTGTACTAATTGTGTGTGCACACTCCACACTCCCTCGTGCATCCACGTGTCCTTTGCCGATGGGATGCACCTGTGTGGAGTCCCCTTTGTGCTGCCACTGAGCTCAGCCTGGCTGTTCCCGGCGGGACGTGGCGCAGCGGTGGCAGGAGGGGACAGGGACAGCCCTGCCCGCTGTCTGAGGAAGGCTCCTCTCCTTGGCCGGGGGTGAGGAGGAGCTGCGAGCTGCCAGGAGCCAGCCGGGGTCCGCCCGCTGGTGCGGGATGTGGAGCCCGGAAATGCTTCGGAAACGCTTGGCTGCCTCCCGGCGAGGGAGAGATGGGCCCATTCAAACCCTGAGAACTGCAATTGTTCTCCCCTTTCTGTGCAGGGAAAGGGAAGGATGCTGCCTTGGAGATTATCAATGGTGCTCCTTAATCAACCAGACAGGTTTTGACTCGTTTTGTCCCTCTGTTGGTGTTTTTTTCTTTTTCCTCTGTCCCCACTAAACATCCCAAGCATTTTCAGCCTCTGGCTTAAAGATCAGAGAGCGAGAGAGCCAGCTCTCCCCATCCTGAATGAATTGCTCTTTTAGCTTGCTTGTGCAAACACAACATAGTGTCTTCCTAGTGGAGGAAAAAACCCCACCAGCTTTTGCAAAGTCTATCATTCAGGATTGCCCAATGTGCTTTGCTGAGCTGCAGCAGAGCAGTGAGGGATATATTTAGCTCTGCCTTTGGCATTTGGGAGTCCTGTGCTGGGGTAAGTAGCAGTGGCCAGAATAGGCTGGAAAGCCTCACAGCCTAGTTCAGGTGGATTTTTTGGATAGATACCTCTTGGGTGCATAATCCCTCAGCACCATGGCCCAGCTGTGCCTATTGCTGTGTAAATGTAATTAACACCCAACCCAGCAAGCCAAGTTTGCAGGCACAGAAGTGTGGATTCTCCATGAGAACTTCTCACATGCCTATTTAAGGGGGAAAAAAAAAAAAAAAAAAAAAAAAAAAAAAAAAAAAAAATGAAGTTGCTGATTATAAAATGAGGTTAGGGAAATATTTTTATGCTGCTTTGAAAAACCTGTTGGTAATCTGGAAGGGCCAGCCCTGTCACTGTGGGAGTTTGTTGTTCCCCTTTAAAGCTGGCCCAGATTGGACAAATCATATTTTGAGTATTCAAAGTTGTTTGAGACTCACTCTTAAGCAGCATGAGGAACCTGGTTGTGTTTAGAATATTCTAGTTTTAAGTTCCTACTTGGAGACAGATCAATGTGTAAAAGCACCATGCATAGGTATGGAGAGTAGAGGAGCAGGAGTATTTTTCTTCCTTCCCTTCCCCCCATTTCTACTTTTCCCTGCTGAAAATAAACTGGGAAAAACTCTTTCAACAAATGACCCTTCTCAAGGCTTCTCACTCAGAAAATCTTTGCCTTGGGAGACAAGCAAGCACCAATCACTTTTTAGTAGACTTTCAGACTAAAATCAAGGGAACTGAAAAAGCTAGGAATGATTTTATTTATATTCAGTGTCACAATCTGTCCTTTGCTTGGCTCTCCCGCACACTCCATGTGCCGTGTCTGTATGGCCTTGTCTATGATTACTGTGGTATTTGCTCAGTCCTCTGTGGTACCCATATTATCTTCTCTTTATCTACTGATCTATAACTAGAACCTGTCTTGTGTTCCTCTCCCTGGCTTGTTTAGCCTAAAGGTTAAATTTAGTTTAGTGCCTTTTTACAGCTACCCTGTGACTTGAGTGCACATATCAACATTCATGCTTGTTTGTATTTGCAATATATGTAACCATTTCATATATGTTTGTATAGAAACATAGAATGGTTGGGTTGGAAGAGACTTCAAAGATCATCTCATTCCAACCTTCCTGCCATAGGCAGGGACACCTTCCCCTAGACCAGGTTGCTCAGAGCCCCATCCAAGCTGCCTCAAATGCTTCCGCCATTTCATATATGTTTATATAGAAACATAGAATGGTTTGGGTTGGAAGAGACCTCAAAGATCATCTCATTCCAACCTCCCTGCCATAGGCAGGGACACCTTCCCCTAGACCAGGTTGCTCAGAGCCCCATCCAAGCTGCCTCAAATGCTTCCAAGGAAGGGGGCATTGTCTGGGCAACCTGCTCCAGTGCCTCAGCACAGTAAGGAAGTTTTTCCTAATATTTAATCTAAACCTACTCCCTTTCAGTTTGAAGCCATTCCCCTGTGTCCTGTCACTACATGCTCTTGTACACAGTTTCTCTTCGTAATAGGGAACATCACATTTATAGATCAGATATTCAAAGGAAATGTTTAATAGCAGCCAGTCCTCATCTCAGCCAATGTGTTTGCCCTTTCTGTAGTTTGTCACCATGCTTTTGTGTCCCACAGTTTGTACAGGTCACTTTAGGAAGACAGACCTGTTTAAATAGTTTTAAGTCGGTGGCCTCCACTGGCCTTCCTGCTCTGTGCTTTGGAGTAAATACCAGGTTGGTTCTGCTGGTGGATGGGAGTGGCTTGGAGCAGCTGGCAGCCTGAGCTGAAGAGCTGTGGGGGCCCAGGAGCTCCTCTCAGGTGGAGCTGGCTCTGCCAGACACCCTTGGGCTGACCCAGCAGCTCCTCCAGCCCTGGGCTGCTCAGGATCTAAGAGATTGGAAAAGACCCCTGAGATCACTGAGTCCAAGTTATTGTTGCACTGTCCACTCTGCAACTCTCCTGCACTACCAAGTGCAGTTTATTTCTACTGTTCCTCTTACTGTAAAGGCTTGGTCCTGCCTGGGCTTCAGCCAGCGGTGCCCTGCTGTTTCTCTGGGCTGTCCAGGTGTGCTATCAGGAAGCCCAGCACATCCAGGCAGTGCTGGGAACACGGGCTGCAGGGGGAGCAGGGATGGGAGCGGCGAGGGGCTGTGTTCCAGCCACCTGCCCGGGGCAGTCTGGTGTCAGTGAGCCGCTGATGTGCACCTGGGTGTCACTTACCCACAGCACTCGTGACGCTGTGGCCAACAATGCACAGGAGTTAAAAATAACGGTTCCTGCTGCCATCCAGCCCCTGATGTTATCCAGCCATGGGATAATCTGCCAAGGTCCTTCTCCAGCCTTCGCAGGGTGGTTTTGCTGGTGCCGAATCCCTGCAGAGCCCAGTGGAATGTTGCTGTTGGGATTCAAACTTGTTTAGATTCAAAACGTTCACAACAGTTCTTAAAGCTGGGAGGAGCTTTGCTCGTGGGAGGGTCTTGCGTTATTAATCCTCCTTTATTCCCCTGTCTGAATTCAAGTTCTGTCCCTGAAAAGCCACATTTTAAACACTGGGGTAGAATGGTCCCAGTTAGAGCCATTCCCCAGTCAGCTCTTGGTTTCACAAATGTGTATTGGGGTAATTTTTCCAGCTGTCTCAGACCTGGAAGCATATCTACTGTTTCTTCTTACTGAGAACGTACAAAATTATTTGCTGTTTGCAAAGATGATCCCCTATAAAAGGAAGTCATATGTGAAATACTAAATGCAAAATCTGGAGGCTTCAGGCATGTGGTAATTGCCTTTTAAACTCAGATGCCTCACTGTAAAGGGTCTTATCGCTGCCTTTCAGCTACTTATTTCTTGGAAGGATCATGTTCTTCTTGGTAAGGAATGATTTAGTTTTGCTCCCTTTCAAGTCAGGAGCAGGCTCTTAATTACACCAGACTTACAGCCTAAAGTATTTCTTAGAAACCAGAGGAATGTATTTGGCTGAGTCTTTGCAGATTTCAACTTTTTTTAGGAGTTTCTCACTTCAAGGAAATGACCAATGATCCATCTGTTGCTTTCTTTTGATGTTCATGGGTTTTTGGAGGAGGGTGGTCTGGTTGAATTGTGATTTTTGTGACAATTAATTATAGCTTATTTCTCACTTTTACTTTAATTGAAAGTAGGTCTTGTTTGGATGCTAACTCAGGGGTATTAAACCAGGACAAAATTCCAAAAATAACTTCTGAAAAGAGGACTTAGGTCTCCAGGAATATACAGTGTTAGGCCTGATTTGACATCTAGTGTTGCTGATACATTATATTATGTTGGCAGGTAGAAATGCTTCCTGATTTTCCCAGTGACAGTTAGAAAGGATTCTTTTATGAAAACAGGCCTTTCAGTTTTGTTGGTTTTTTTTTTATCTCATCAACACAGAAATGAAGATAAACACATATTTTGCCTCAATAACAGGTTGTTCCTTAATAAAAAAAAAAAAAAAATTGCAACAGCCTTCAAAAGGACATAACCACTTCTCATCTGTGTTTCTTTCCTTAGTAGGGGAAGCAGGTGTTCAGGCAAATATCTGCACATACAGATGTGTATGCCACCAGAGAACTCTCCCTCTTTTCAGATGACACAGTTCACAGGCTGAAAAAAAGAATTACAGTGTTCAGACAATGTTGTGGATAAAGCACATGAATTATGGCTCTTGATGTGCAGAGAGCCTGTGTCCCTGTGTCCTTGAAATAAAGCTTAAGGCTTTGAGGAACAAAGAGCTCCAGAGCGGGAGGAGAACACTAATTACTGTTCTGCCTCTAAACAAATACTGTCAGAGCTGACTGGCCTCAGTCTTGCCTGGGCTGTTAAAATTCCTTCCAGCTATTGCTCAGAAATCTGATTGAAGGAAAAACTGTCTTCCTCTTCTGTGCGTCCCTGTGGGACACGGGACGCCAGCATGCTTCAAGCAGAGCCTGGTGTTGGCACTTATGTTGTGACAGCAGAGGTTCGGATGCCTCCAGATCCCATTCCTTTGTGGAGGCCCAGTGGGATGGTGTCCTGCTGAGCCCTGCCCATGGACACCATCTGTCCCCAGAGCTGCTGGAGTGCCGTTCCCAGGAGCAGTGTGGCACCACCATGGGTTATGGCTGTGGCACCACCACGGGTCGTGTGTGTGGCACCACCACAGGCAATGGTGGACAAGGTGGGAGAACTGTTCTAGAGCCCACAGAACAAGGGCTATAGTGGGACACTGTGCCTTTGGTTCTCGTGGATAACCTCCACCCACGGACACGGACAGGCAGGAGGGACTGGGCAGCCTGGGATGGCCGTGGTTCAACTTGAATTTCCAGCCCTGCTTGTAGGACACAATGTGATAACCCCACTCCCTCAAACCCAGGCTGGGACAGTGAAACAGCAGCCACGGGTGATGGCTGCCCCGCTCCTTGCGGAAGGGGCTCCCTTTGTGTCCCCTTAGGCTCCGAGGGCCGCGCTCCCCACGGTTCCCCTTCCCGGGGGCAGTGCCAGGGATCCATCCTAGGGATCCATCCCAGGGATCGGGCTCAGCCCCGCGGTCGCAAGATGGCGGCGGAGGGGCGGCCGCGAAATGGCGGCGGCGGCGCCTGAGGGCGCGTGGGTGCTGCCCCCTGCCCGCCTCCCGGCCCACAGCCGCGGGTCCCGGGATTTGTCCCGGCCGGGAGCGGGACGGGCCGCGGCTGTCTCCGGGCATCCCCGGATGCTAACCCCTCCGGAGTCTGATGGAAATGTACATGTGTGTGCATATGCTTTCTTTGGTGGTGTTTTTTTTTTTTTTTTTTTTTTTTTTTTTTTTTTTTTTTTTTTAATTATTTCTCCCTTGACTTGTGAAATCTGAGCAAAGCCTTTCATGTACTTTGTCACTTTCGTACAAAAGTGGAAAAAAAAAATAAAAAATCTGTTTAATCCCGCTGAAAAGTTTTCCTGACTCTTCTTTCATAGTGTTGTACCTAGGTGAATCCTTAAATATCACAAACACATCTGCCTGCCAGTGGAAAGCTGACTGGGAAAGGGGTGCTCCTTGTTCCAAAAATCTGTGGCATCGTCACTGTGTTTTTGTTTGTGGCAGTGGGGTTTGAATGCTGTCTTGCCAGTGCACGAGTGTTAAGGTGTACTGAGATTTCAGTTTGCTTTTTAGGCTCTTAAAATAAAAACTATCTATGTTGGGAGTGATTGAGCAAAGGTATTTGAATGTTTTTGGCCACCTAAAATAGTTTGGCCTCTCATTGTTTTGTTGAGGAGCCTTTATTTAAGGGGATACTCTGGGTGTTAACACATTTTTATATAAAGATACTAAAAAAAAAAAAGGGGGTGGAACTACAGCTTAGTTAGCAGAACTGAGTGTTCTGTTCTCGCATTATTGGCTTGAGAAATGCAGTCTGCACAGCACTGGTGTAATCCTTTAAAGAGGAGCTGCCTCAACCACAGGCCCATAGAAGCTTCTTCCTTCTGCCCTGTTGCTGAATTAATTCCTTTTGCAGAAACATTCTATTTAACATAATTCATGGTGTTATGGGTATAGTGTTTTTGATACTGGCCTCTTTCAGAAAGTGGATATCAGATTTATTTTGAACCACTGGCTACACTAGGATGTAGTGGAGAATCGTGCTGGATCAACTGCTCATCTTTAATGTAAGAGGATGGTCTCTGGATGCTGCAGCCCCCACTATGCCTGACTCTGCCTCGCTCCAAGACACCCAGATCCTCCCAGGAGAACCTGTGCTGCTGGTACTGCTAATGCTTGTCCTCACCTACCACCACTGCTTTTGTTCCGGTGACGAGCAGGAGATCCCGGGCAGGGATTTTTGGGGCTGCACTCTCGCCTGTGTTCACTGCCAGTCCTGGGAAGGAATTGCCTCTGCTGCAGAATGCCACTGTGGGGTGTACACCTGGGCCTGCAGGGTCCACACTTGTATTCAGGTTTTTCCAAACCTGTCCTTGTGGTATTTCACAGCTGTGTGCAGTTAAAATGTAACCTCTTCTTTCTCTACCATTAGTCACTCAGCATCCGAAGAAGCCTCTGGCTCTGACTCTGCAAGCCAGTCTGAAAGTGAGCAGGGCAGCGAGTCAAACAGCAGCTCCGAGTCCTCTGAGAGTCAGTCTGAATCCGAAAGTGAATCAACGGGTTCCAAATCCCAGCAGACCCCTCCTGAAACCAAAGAAAAACCCGCCTCTAAGAAGGAAAGGATAGCAGATGTTAAAAAGGTATTACCCCTGCTGCTCTGCACGGACACGTTACTCCTGTACCCACCATGGAAGGTCAGACAGCAGGACCTCAGTGAAGCTGTGCCAAACTTCCTGGCCACTTGGCACATGGACCAAACAGCCTCTGACCTCCAGTGTCCCCAGGGGCTGTTTGGTCTGTGTGCTGGAGCCCTGCTGCTGTCACCCTTGAGAGCAGGAGCTGCTGTGTTTGTGGAACAACCTCTGGGGCACCAAGTAAATGGTGACAGGGCTGACTGGTGCGAATGAGGGGCAGGTGCCTGTCATCAGTACATGATCCTGTCATTTCATCCTCTCTCTGTCTTTCCACTCCTCTATCCTGTCTCTCCTCAGAAGCAGTAAAGCCTCCCCATGTGATAAATACTCAGGAAGAAGGTTTGAAGTTTGTCTAGGGTTTGAAGTTGGAGCCACTTTGGGTTATTTTACATCACTATTCCTCTCAAAAAAACATAGTAAAAACAAAAAAAACCCAAAAAACTAAACCAAAACAAAAAAAAAAAAACAAAAAAACCCCAAAAAACAAAAACAAAACAAACAAAAACCCAAAAAAACCAAAACAAAACAAAAAAAAAACCAAAAAAACCCCCCCAAAAAACAAAAACAAAACAAAACAAAACCCAAAAAAACAAAACAAAAAACCCAAAAAACCAAAAAAAAAACAACCAACCAAAAAAAAAATTCCCCTGCACCTTCCCATATTAAGTCCAGAACAGGACAGTGCTTCTTTGTTCTGTTTTTTTTTTTTTCCCCTGCACCTTCCCAGCTCCTCCCTAGTCAGGTTTTCTCTTCACTTGCTGTCCAGCAGGAAAGGGGATTGTGGGTGTTACTGCTCATGGTATCGCTCTGCACACACCAGGGCAGAAGCTGCACACCTGCTTTACCTGAGGGATGGAGGCACCTGACTAACACAGGGCAGTGTGAGGTGAGAAAGAGGAGCCCAAATACCATTTGGAGACAGGAGCTCAGTGAACTGAGTTCGCTTGGAAGGAGAAAATTGTGGTTAGGTTAGCTTGTTTGTTTGTGGTGTGTAACCGTCCTGTTGTTCTTAGGCGTGGGTTGCACTGGCACAGCATCTCCTGAGAGTGAGTTTTATGGAGAAAGGTGCTATGTGTGTAAAGGATAAGGAGGAAGGAGAGTGCTTCCAGCCTGTGCTCCCCACGGACCTGCCAGAAAGAAGTAAAGGATTTTCTTACCACCTTCTCTCTCCCACAAAGCTCCAGGCTGCTGGCTAAATCCTCCAGTGTTTGGACTGGCAAGGGAGGATGAGTTTGTAAGGCAGTTGTGGTAACACCACATTAAAATCTGGTTTATTGTTGATAAATGGGCTTCAAAGGAAGTCTTCTCTCCCTCTGAAGAATTCTAAGAGCATGTCCCTAACAATAAACGTTAACATTATCCTGTGAGGAAGTGCATCCATACACAGGGTGATAATTAGCATGGGTGAAACATGAAAAGGTCAGGACACCCTCTAATAAGAAAGCCTCTCCCTTCCTTAATTTCTCTGTTAATGGGTGTCTTCCTTAGCTAGGTCCAACCTAGGCATGTTGATACATCTTCCCCTTGAATAACCAATGCAATTAATTATTACTGTTTATTTGGTATTTGTCTAGATACACCCATGAAGGCGAGGTTAATCTGTGTTAGGTGCTATTAAGATTTGTCATGGAAGTTGCTCCCACATTCAAAACCCATGCCATTTAATAGATGAAAAGATAAGTTCTTCAGATGGTTTGGGGAGGGAGCATTAAGTTTGAGGGTTTATTCTTTCATGAGAATGTACCTCAGTCCTTGCATGCCCAATAGATAGACAATGTCACAGTCTGTCCCTTATGCCATTACTCCTTTAACAGAGGCAGAAGAATTGCTGGGCTGCAGCCTCGTATCCATCACGCTCTCAATCCCATCACTGCTGCATCTGGCAGCATAGTTTGATTTCCTTTTCCTGCCAGTGGCTTGCAGAGATATTTGAGGATTGGAGGGAGAGAGAATCAGAAGGAAATTAATAGATGTAGAGAACTGCTCAGGGAGAGAGGAATTGCTGGTGTAGGAATTTGAGGGGCATGGTGGTGGTCTGTGTCTGCCCTGTAACTCTTGTGTTCTATGTCACCAACACAGCTCTGCATTCATTCCCCTCAGGACATTCATTTTTGTGTCCCCTTCACCTGCCCATCCACAAGAACAATTGCATGCTCTTTTGCACGGAGTATTCAACTGGTGAGGGCCTCCTTTTTCAGCAAAGAGCACAACCATTGCCAGCAGTCACCTCTGCACATCCATGTGTCCTGCACTGCCAAACCACATTCCCATCAGTGCATTCAGGAGAGGAACCAGTGGCCACTGCCTTGCCTTGCCAAATGACAGGGTATCTTGCTCCATTTGCCATCCAGACTGGGCCACAGAATTCACCTCTGAAGCTGCAGCTGGCCATGTCTCCAGGCAGCTAGTGGGGCTTTCCACCAGGAAAGGAATTGTACTGGAAGCTGTTAGTGACAGAGAATTGCCCTGTTGAGTTGTTAGGTCTGTTCATTCCACGTCCAAGGTGTTGCCTCCATTCCTTTGGCACCAATGCTGCAGAGGGCTGGTTACCCCAACACTCTGTCCTTCAGCCTGAGAGAGCTGGAGAGTGATTTGTGCCTCAGTGGAAAGATGGACCACTGTAAAGATAACACTGAGATAAACACATGCTGCTTTAGAAAGGTGTCATATATCTCAAAATAATAATAATAATCTTTCCAGCCAGTTTTTTAAGCTGTCCGTCTACTGGTTGCTAATTCCCTAATGGATTTTGGATGATTTTTTTTAAGCCACCATCAAACTTCTCTAAAATGTCAAAAATAATTGGGGTGAAGCAGGCCTTCTGATGGTCTGTTTATTTTGCAGATGTGGGAAGAATATCCTGATGTTTATGGGGTTAGGAGGTCAAACCGAAGCAGACAAGAACCGTCACGATTTAATATAAAAGATGAGGTAAGGAAAAAAAAAAAAAGGATGAGGGATTACTGAATATATAAAACCAACCAAACCCAAAGAGGAAAGGGAGGTCTCAACTGCATTGACTGTAAGCACTGAGTCCCAGTTTGGTGCATGGATGTTGGATCTCACAGTTGAGGTCCCAGTCCTGCAGCTGGATCCTTGGCCTGAGACCTCTGGAGTGAGCAGGACACTGCCTGGGCTGAGATCTGCATGCACTGATCTGATTGCTGGAATGGGGCGTAATGCAAGTCCTGATCTGCTGTAGGAACATCCTGGAGAGGAGTCTGTGTAACTAAAAAACAGAACGAGACCAAAATGCAACACAAATCCAACCAGGAATAAAGGAAAGTTCCCAGAAACACCTCATAGCAACAGAACAGTCATTATTGCCCATCCTGAAATGGATCCCACTAATAAATGCATTTGTGTGTGTGCAGCTTTATGACGCATCACTTTTCTTTGGTTGAACACTGGGGAGTCTTTTATGCTTCAGTTGAAGGTGACAGTGGTCAGAGCCTGGCAGCCAAACCTTCTAATTGTTCCTGTTTCAGAACACTCTTGGGTTTTTTTTCTGAAGATGTAGAAATCAGGTTCCGCCTTCGTTTGCATCTGAGAGGTTTTCTGCATGGAGCATTTCATCTGCAGGTCTCCAGGAAGGTCGAGTAGCTATAGCAGAGGGGAAAGAGGACCTGAGACAGGCATCTGTGGAGAGCTTGGGGCTTGGGGCTGGGAATCTGAAGATAAGCAGCAGACTTTGGAGCCCAGTGGTGCTCTCTGGCTCAGGCTGTTTGTGCTTCGCCACCGAGATGTGCGTTCGGATGCTCACGGGGTGGCACGCAGGTCTCCAGCTCCTCTCTCTGGTGCGTTATTGCTGAGCCTTGGTGGCACCCCAGTGCCACCAGCTGCCCCCAGACTCCTGTGCTGGCTGTCCCGCAGAGCAGAGGTCAGGAAGGGGCTCGGGGTGCACCATTGACACAGCTTTTGTTTTCCTTTTCAAGTTGGCAGAGGCTGGGCTGGCCGGCCACGCCTCTGTGCGATGCCCTGGCATGCACTGTGCCGGCGACCTCACACCCACCCCAGAGCTCCGCTGCACACCCCCCTGCCCTCTTAGGGGCCCAGGTAAGTCCCTTCTTTTTTTGTTTTACAATATTACGTGGTTTTGCAAATGTTGTTTTCTTTTTCAATATCTTTATTTCCTAGTACTTAAGGTAAAATTAAAAAAAAAAAAAATCTGAGATGCAAAAACTTTGCTATACCACAAAATATTGTAAAAAACAAAAAAACCCAAAACCACCCCAAAGGTCCTGCAAATGACCCTCACTGCAACTTCTGTGAAACAGCTGAAATAAAAAAAAATGGAGCGTGCCTTCTCCCCTCTCTCCCCAAAGCAACACTGACTGGTCCCCACAGGGCAGCTCCCATCTGCAGCAGAGTGTTGGAGGGTGTGACCTGTCGGGAGCACAGTGCTGGGGCCTCGCAGAGAGCAGGAGGAGATGGAAAATCTTGCTTTTGGAAGACACCAGGAGAGAGGAGATAGCACAGCTCAAGCCTGTGTGGTGCTGAGCACTCCTTGCTGCTGCTGGAGGGGACAGAAACCCAAGGCACGTCTGAAGATGCTTTTTGCCTTCACAGGGTTAATCCTGTCTCCAGTGACCTGCACCTCTCACTTGCTGCTTGGGACTTCCAGCACAGTGTCTTGGGGCTTGTAATTGCCTAATGCTTCTCTGCAGATTAGCAAAGAGCATCGTGCAGGCAGTGTGGCAGGCTCAGAGACCAGAGCAAGGATGGATGAGCCATCCCAGCTCCCTGCGCTGCCCCGTGACTCACCTGAGCGGGGGAGAAGGCTCAGAGGTGGAGGTGATTCAGGTTTTGGGGCTCTGCTCAATCACTGTGTCCTCTGAGAGCAGCACTCTGGGTAGGGTTATTTGTGTGTTAGACATGGTTACCTTCTGAGGATTTCTGGGCTCGTTGTGTAGGTCTCTGAGGGGCGATCAGGGAGGGTGATAACTCGTGATCAATATCCAGGCATGGGCTGAGCCACTGGGGAAGCGAAAGTGCAGCTTTGCATAGGAGCACAGATCTGCTCAGAGGCTCAGAGCTGTCTCCAGGAACAAGAGAATGTGTGAGTTTTTTAGTAAAAACACTACTTCCCCAGGCATTTTCTTTGCAGTTAATAAATCAGCTTCAGGTTTCAGCCAGGGGATGTGAGACGTGCAGAACCAGGTGCTTTTCAGAATATTTAAATTGAAATGGGGGAGATTAGGTTAGCTATGTAAGGGAAATTCTTCCCTGTGGGGCTGGTGAGACACTGGCACAGGGTGCCCAGAGAAGCTGTGGCTGCCCCATCCCCAGGATTGGATGGGGCACTAAGCAGCCTGGTCTAGTGGAAAGTGTCCCCTGCTCGTGGCAGGGTGTTGGAACTGAATGATCTTCAAGGTCCCTTCCAACCCAAACCATTTTATCATTCTGTGATTCTGGGGCAGTTGAGAAATAAATGTGCCCCAACCAGACATGGTCTTTTTACTATAAAAATAGTTTCAGATTGAAATTGGTGGCAAATGTCAGTGTATTTTTTTCTGTCAGAGAGGCCACAAGTCACGCACCAGTGTGTTCTAAAAATACAGCTGGTTTTCTTATTGGAAAAAAAAAATCTGCTCATTTGCATTTTGGTCAATGCTTTGCCTCATGTATTTGCTGAAAATTCAAACACTACTGGTCTCACTGGAAAAAAGAAGTTCAGCAGACATAAAACTAACCTGGTTAGCTGAGATTCTCCAGCCTTTCTGGAGCACTAGAGTTTGGCCTCTGTTGAGCCTGAAATGAGTAAGTCCTCACTTTGACTTTAGTCTGAAATGCTTTTGGCTCTGTTTAAGCAAGTCATGATCTTTCCTAGTGAGAGCTCCAGAGGCTCACCTGGACCTCCTCTCTAATGGCCTGGAATCTCAATTTCTCCCAGCCTGGGCTAGTGGCAAGGACACTCATGGATAATCTATAGGAGCAGAACTTTGAATTGCTCTACATTGGTGCTACACATGCAGCATCATTATGTTTGTTCAGTGGTTGCTCCACGCAAAATACAGTGCAATTAATCTGGCAAAAGTGTGTGCACTTTATGTGCTGGGAGAGGGAAAGAATTGATGGAAGGAGTCAGTGAGGCATGGAGAGGGAAGGCTGATCCTTTCAGCTGGAGATGAAGAAATTGTAAGAGGCCAGATCCTAGTCCAGCTCGAAGCAGTGGTGCAGGAGTGAGGCCAGGCCTGTCTTTTCCCTTGGCCACAACAGCAGCACCCCAGCAGGGCAGCACCGGCACTTGGGCTCTGGAGCGAGCAGTGTGACCCCAGCATCTCGTGCTGGGCTGACAAAAATCCCACTGATTTGGCACATTTTGATAAGGGGGAGCCAGGCTTGTCTTTCCCCTTGGCCACAGCAGCAGCACCCCAGCAGGGCAGCACTGGCACTTGGGCTCTGCAGCGAGCAGTGTGACCCCAGCATCTCGTGCTGGGCTGACAAAAATCCCACTGGGACTGGGGATGGACTTTGCCAGTCTAGCTTGTGTCATTCGGGGAGGTGACGTTATAAAAATTCAAGTTGCATGTGATTTCCCAACCAGTGTGTTCTGACAGTGGTGGTGGGCAGACAGGGCCCCAGGTGCACACTCTGCACCTGGCATTCCCTGGCTCTCTGGCTGTCCTCTGTGCTTCCTTAAACAAGGGATTTACCACCAGGAGACACGAGGGAGCGGGGAGGAGATGCTGAGGAGCTGCAGCACGGCACATCCCAGCACTCCATTCTGGGATGGGGAGGATGTGGGAGCACAGGGCAGGGAGGTGACTCAAGCTGGGGACTGGCTGTGTCAGAGGAGATAGGGCTGGGCTTGACACGCATCCAAAACAGACAATGCTGTCTTTGAAATATGCAAGAGAAGGTGGCTGAGCTGCAGTCACAAGTTAGTTTTTCAAGGTGGAAGAGGGGAGGAAAAGTCAAGTCATTTAGTGATAACCATCAGCTTTGTAGAGACAAGTGGCAGAGGAGGGGGAGTGTATAGGCATTGGGAAAATGGACACTAGAAACTTGGAAAATGGGATTTTGGCACAGAAGTGGAGTTAATTTCAAAGAGCTAAAGGTTGTGTTTGGTTTTCTCCCAATGTGATCTCTGACGCAGAACAGAAGAGAAATCCACCTCTCTTTACATGTGGCTTGCCAAAATACAACAAAAGTAAACGTGCATTGAGGGGCACCTGTTAAAGTCATGCCAAATCAGAATAGAAAAGTTTCAGAAAGTGGATAAGAGATTAAAAGAGACAAGGAAAACTGAGGACTTTTAAATTTTGTGTGTCAAAACTGAAACCTGTGGAATGGTTGGCTTGTGTTGCAAGGGTAGGTAGGGCTCTCCATGGTGTTTGCCAGGCACTTGCTCCATGGTTGGTAAATGAGACAGGGATTTCATGCAGGGCCGTGAAACAGGTGGATGAACACGTGTTTGTAGTAAGATATGGTGCAAAAGCTGTTATTGTGCCACATGCAAATCTGACATCAAATCCAGGAAAGCTCATGGTCAGACATGGCATCCAGTGTTTTAGTGGATACACTGATGCAAGTGAGACAGAAGTTTCTGTGGGTGGAAGGAAAACTAGAAAAAGGGAATGAAGGATGTGTGTTACAGCTCTCACCATTCCACAAACTCCTTGTGCACACAGCTGTGTGAGCTCTGTCCAGGAGGGCAATGGGGATGCAAACTGTGCTACTCATAGTGATGGACAGACAGACAGAGCCAAAGCTGAACACTGTGTCAAAAAACAGCTAGAAGTGGAATATTTCCACTTCCACAGAAGTGTGTGGAGCAAGCAATTTTGGAGGCTACTTCTGTCACTTTAATACTTCTTTAGAAATCTCACATGGGTTTCTTCAATTTTGTCCCTGCCTATTTGCATTTTCTGGGGGAGGCTAAGGAGAAGTCATGTTATCTGTGTGGTGATCTGTTTTCATGGTTGACTAGTTTTTATGAAAATGGGGCTGTGTACAACCAGCATAAAGAGATTATTTTAGCTATCTTGCTCTGTGGGAATTTGTGACGCCCACTTTTAAAATAGTGCAGCAAGTAGTTAGAATAGCTCTAGATATATTTAGCCAAAGAGACTTCACTGGTGGAGACTGTAGAACTAGGAGGAAGGAAAGCAGCAGGACACAGCTCTGACCCAGTAAGGTCCTTGATGACTTGCTGTGGGAGAAAAAACCCAATAGCAAGACAAGGATACTTTTGATAAGAATATTGCCTTTCTATGACAGTATTTTTATTTCATTCCTTGTAGGAAGTTTGAGCAATGAAGGCAGAGACCATAATGCAATGGTTGGGATAAATTCACCCGTGGGTTTGCAATCCCTGGGGTGTTGCACACACTGCAGGTCTGCCTGGCCACTGCTGCCATGGTGCCTGTTGGGCACTGGGGGTTGGTGCTGGGAGGGGGTGGATGGGTCCTGAGCCTCAGGGACTTCAAGATAGGTGATGCTGTAGAGCTCTCCAGGCTTCCTGCAGTGTTTTCTTCTTCACACTGAGAGCAGAGCAGCGGGACTGAGCAGCTGAGGTGGCTGTGCTGGGAGGAGGCTGCTCTGCACCAGTGTCCCTCAGGCTGCAGGGAAAGGACCCTGGCTCAGCCCACAAGCACGTGTGTCACTTGCATCCTCAAGGAGCCAGTCCACAGTGAAGCCTACAACTTGATTTTCTTTCTTTTCAATTAAAGGCAAGTAGCGAATCTGAAAATGAGAGCCCAAAAAGAAGACGCCAGAAGCAGTTGAAAAGAAAGTAAGTTTCTAAGGAAAGCGTTTTGAGTGGTGATGCTTTGGTTGATTTCTCAGAACAGTAGTGCATTGGATTGTTTGATGGGAGTTGTCAGCGTGGTGAGCTTGTAAAATAAATATTTTAGTAATACTTCAGATTACTAAAATTGAAGTATGAATATGAATCTATAGATGGATACAGTTTTCCAACCTTTGTTTGTATGTTCCTGCTGTGCCTGTGATGGAATCTAAATGAGTCAGGTTCACTTTCTGTTGTCAGCCTTTCACTTTTCTAGCAAATTACTGATTCTCCTTCAGAGGTACTTAAAACAGTTTAATCCCTTCTTCTCCCACCTTTTTGATTAGCTGAGAATAAGATACCAAATTATTATATTCTTTTATCTTTTATAACCCCCTGTTAAAACAAAACTTCCATAAGGAATGTTTTGGATGTCTAAGCACCATAACTTGAGTTCACTTACAGACATATTTTATTGCCTTTTCCCATCTAGTAAGTACCTTCTAGTTTTTCCATACACTAAAGTGGAGTAGGGAACTATGAGCTGCCTGATGGAGAAAATCTAAACAGAGCCACATCATCCTGGTTGCTTTCTCCTGCATCTTGTCTTTTAACTCTTCATTTAGTTGTACCCATCAGTGCAGGAGGGAAGGTGATAAAGCACAGGGAGGACTGTGGTAGTATGGACCTCTCTTGGGCAAGGGCAGTGATCCTTGTGGACACTCCATGTCCTCTTGAGAGAGGAGGGGCTCCTCCAAAAGGCATTTTGGAGCTGCAGCTTTGTTCCTAGTTGTCCCCAGAGAACAGGCTTCCTTCCACTAATGTACAATGTGAATTGGCATCACGCTTGGAAACTTGAATTGGCAGGAGACTTTCCATGGCAGGAGACTTGTTCCATTTTCTGGGCTCCAAGGAGCTCATGTAACTGCACACTGTGGCTCATGCTCTGTAACAGTAAGCACTTCTCTCCAGATCCTTCCAGCCCATCTCAAAAATGCAGAAGTAGAGAAAAGAAAAATTCATCAATCAAAGCCCTTACCCACCCAGGTTTGAGCAGTACAGCTCTGCCACCAGCACATGTGGTAAGAGCTGCTCTCCCTCAAGGCAGCCCTGCCACTGTGTGAACAAAGCCCCAGGTGGCTGAGACCTCCCTCCTAAAAGCAGAGGATCACAACACAACACCCCCCCTGCATTGCACTGAATAGCCAAGGATAGAATTTTGAACGCTTTTCCTGTAATTATGGACCTGATAGTTTGTTCAGCCAAGTATTTGTGTAGAAATGTTGTTGCCCTTCATGACCTACATTTCTGACCACAGAATTAAGTGGAAAAGGGAGGTCTCTGCTGGAGAAGAGGATGAAGATGGAGGGGAGCAAGGCACCAGTGGAGAGAGCGAGCCTGAACCTAAGAAAATTAAAGCAAGAAGACCTGTCCAGAGGAGGTAAGGAATGGTTGGCTCAGTCTCTTTTTCTGCCTCTGCTGTGTGGAGAGGAAATCCCTGTTTGTCACTAATGAATTTTTTGTGCAATATTACCTTTGTTTGTGACCTAGTAAAGCTAGGGCCTAGTTATTCCCTCATCTCTCCATCTCATGCTCCAGTGAGCACTAGAGTGGTTTTCATGATAGTTAGAGCAGATTAAATCCCTTAGGAGTCTAATATTTGAGATTCGTGTTTCCTTAAAGACTTATTAAAGTGGATATTTACATAAACCATGCTGTATTATGGCTTTATTAACTCTTATTTCAGAACAGTGGCCAAAACTGGTGTTAAAAAGCCCCACAAAATCCAGCGTGGGAAGAGGAAGAAACCAGACTCATCTGAAGATGACGATGATGATGAAGACGATGAGACCCCCAAGAGGCAAACTCGGCGAAGAGCAGCCAAAAATGTCAGGTGTGAAGAAGTGTGGGGTTGCTTGGGGGTGAGAGCTGGCTGGGGAAGGTGGGCACTGAGGGCCCTGACTCCTCTGTGGTCCTGCAGAGACCTGTGGCTCTTCTTGGCTCTTCTGACAGGTTCCTGCTGGGCACATCTGGGGTTTATCTCATTTTGCCCTCTGTGAAGGAGGGAATGTTTACCAGTCCCTCCTAAGAGAAACTTGAGGATGGTTGCATAATATTTCTAAAGCACTCTCAGATGAAATGAATAATTGCAAATAGATGAAAATGAGCAAAAGGGAGCAGCTGTGCTGGACTGGACCAATTGTCTGAGGGTGGCTGATAGGTAGTGCCTTGGCACAGTGTGTTGAGCCAGGGTGGAGTAAAGCTTTATCCATTCCACAGTGTACTTCCTCACCTTTCAGGCAGTCCCAATAAGGGACTTGCAAAGAGCCATCCAAATGATATTTTGTGGTGGTTAAACGTGCACCAAAGATGAGGAGTGCAGTTCCTAGGGCAGTGTAGGCACCCATGCAGCTTTTCAATGCTCTGCAACCTGCATAGAATAATCTTTCCCTCCATAGTGGAGACTTTCTCTGTTATGGGATTGTTCCACCTTATGAATCACCTGATGTTGGCCATGTTCAGAAAAACTGTATGGGCAAGATAGAGGATTAGTCTGATAAAGTGTAGCTGAGTGTCTTGGGGAAAAATACTGAATGGATGACTTAAGACATGCGTGTGCTGAACGTGCACTGAACCACAGCATAAATTCTGGAGAAGCTGCTCCACTCTGAGCCATTCTCTGTGTTGGTGGGCTGGGAAGAGTCAAAGGTTTTATATCCGTTTGGTTTTGATCTTACTCAGCTACAAAGAAGATGATGATTTTGAGACGGATTCTGATGACCTGATAGAGATGACTGGGGAAGGAGCTGATGAACAACAAGACAACAGTGAAACTATTGAGAAAGTCTTGGACATCAGGCTTGGAAAAAAGGGAGGTGCGTGGCTCTGGAAGAAGCCTTTATTTCTCTTGAACTCGTGCAACGCTTCTGCAGCTTTAAAGGGGGCTCAAGGGTTGTTTCAGTGCTTTTCATCTTTTCCTCTATGCCTCTTAGCTACACCTTGTAATGTGTAATAACTTGTGTAACATATAATATTTAAAATCCTAAAATCTCTAGAGTTTATGTGCTCGGCAGCTTTCATTTAGCCTGCACACATTTTAAAGATGCATCCATTGTTCTGCAATTCCTGCTTTTCTCTGCTTTGAAATATGAAACAGATCTAGGAGAGTCAGTTTTCACCGCCCCATTGACAAAGCCATAATGAAAATAAAGCCAATGTTTTCTTCTCAAAGCCTTACAAAAGTGTTTTTTGTAAAACTGAATGGTTGTGAACACTTTCAAGTGGCCTTTGAATTATACCTAAAGAAAAGCTACTCAGAACAGATTTAAAAAGATTCTGTTGCATGGAGAACTTTCGTGTGCCTGCCTTGTAGGTTTGCAGAATCTTTTGGATGTTCTTTGTGCTCCCACAAAAGATGTATTAGAAGGGTGTGATGCAGCTGATGCCCAGGGTGGGTTAGGAGGGTACCAAATGCAGGCTGGCTTCTCTTGCAGCCATTGGAGCCTCCACCACAGTGTACGTGACCGAGGCCAACGGCAACCCCAGCGCCGACTTCGACCCCGAGAAGGACGAGGGCGAGGTCCAGTACCTGATCAAGTGGAAGGGCTGGTCATACATCCACAGCACGTGGGAGAGCGAGGAGTCCTTGCAGCAGCAGAAAGTGAAGGGCCTGAAAAAGCTAGAAAACTTCAAGAAGAAAGAGGAGGAGATCAAGCAATGGTAGGCTTCACTTCAAGCAGTGATTTGGCCTTGGGCAGTTTGTTTTTAGCCAGAGGTTTGAGGAGTCGTGACTGAAAATGTTTGATTTCTTCTTACAAAGTGTGTTTCATGTGCACTCTGGCCTGCTGAGGAGCATCCCTCCACACAGAAATTATATCTGTGGTGTGGATGGCTGGAAAATGGAGAGGACAAGGCCTGAAATCCACACTACTGCCACTTCCTAGGCTTAAGAATTGGGAAGGCTGACAACCAATAAATGGTGCACAGACTCACCTGGCCCAGGAGGGCTTGCAGCCTTATTAACCCTTGTTAATTATGGGCTTCTCTGTGTGCAAGTTTTTGCATCACTTTATGTCCAGTTTCCCCAGGAACTATAAGGGGAGCTACAGTGTCTTTCCAAAGTGCTAAAGCTGGAGCAGCAGCTTCCATCTCAGTTTGGTTCCTGCTTTGAGACTGATTCTTGCATCAGAATAAGGCAGCATTTAACAGGAAGACAATGATCATCTGTGACATTTGCTTCTCGGCAATAATTTACAATTTTAGAAAATTTAAGAAACATATCATATAGCAGTAATTTGCCCCTGTGACTTGTCTGAATGACAGAACCATATAGGAAAGTACATTTTCTATATGCAAATCTGTGAGCACTATGACAGAATCATTATAATCGTTTGTTTTGTTTTGTTTTGAATTATTTTGCATCTAGGCTGGGCAAGGTATCACCTGAAGATGTAGAATATTTCAACTGCCAACAAGAGCTGGCTTCAGAGCTAAACAAACAGTATCAAATAGTGGAGAGGGTAATAGGTAAGTGGAGCCAAGACTTTGGTAAAGGGGTGAAGTAGGAATGGGAACTTTTTTCCATGTGACAGCAGAATGAGTGTGCAGCTCTCTCTTCTTCCCTGCTCTCCAGTACCCCTGAAGAAACCCCCATGATGTTTACTGTATTTCATTGTGGAATTTGGAATTTGGACAGTAGAAATCCAGGCTTACAGATTTGTATTTATGAGCAATACAAATCAGTGACTCTCCTTGCCTGGAGTATGGGATGACACACTAGTTTCCAACAGGTTGCTGAAATTGTTGCTGCTGAATTTCTTAGTCTTCAACCCTTTGGATGCAAGATGTTTGTTTCCAAAGCAGCAGCATGGGCCTGGCTTTTGAGAGGTCCACTTCCCATGGTGTGGTTGAGGGTGTGGTTAGGCTGCAGGGCAGCTCAAGAGGGGAGATTTTCATGATTAATTAATAAAAATAAAGCCAGAACTTACTGAGCACTTTGGTAATATCACAGTCATGTCAGTCAGAGATGCCAGCACCCAGTTGCTTTGGGAATTGGCTTTGAGAGCTGTATAACCCATTTTCAACACAATTCCTGTGAAAACGTGGGTGTGAGGCAGTGATGGCCTGCCCTGCTCCCTCTGCTGGCTGCCGGCATTCCAACCCTCCCTTCCCTTCTCTCTCCAAACACAGCTGTGAAGACCAGCAAGTCTGCCACGGGACATTCAGATTTCCCAGGTAAAGGCACATTTTTTTGGTCTCTCTACACTTTTGCTGTGAGCCAAGACCTGTTTTGTGGTTGTATGGGCAGTTCAGCCTGTGAACCATGCTTGTGGTTCAGCTGCTCAGCTGCAGGTGCTGAGGTTTGGGCTTTTTTTGCATATTTTACAGCAAACAGTCGCAAAACATCCTCGAATGACCCCGAATACCTGTGCAAGTGGATGGGGCTGCCCTATGCCGAGTGCAGCTGGGAAGATGAGGCTCTGATCAGCAAGAAATTCCAGCACTGCATTGACAGCTTCAACAGCAGGAACAACTCCAAGACGATTCCCACCCGTGACTGCAAGGTTTTCTGGCTTCTCTTCTTTGCTGGCTTCCTCCAGGCTGGGGGAAGATGCAAGCATTGGGAACATGAAGTTTTGTCAGGATAAATGTCAGAACACTTTCCCATCCTCCCACCTGCATTTGAAGGGTTGTTTGCTGTTCTTGTATTGCACTTCAAGCAGAGATGTGAAGCCCTTTGAGTTTCATTTACTCTGTGCACAGTGAGAACGTTATGTCCCCCTGGGGAGTGGGAGGCTTAATTAATCCTTGCAAAGTGCTTCCTCCTCAGAAGGAGGTGCAGCAGTTTTAATGTCAGTTGGATGAAAAAACAGCACACCTGGGAAAAGAGGAAGCCTGCAAGATGCTGATACAGTGAAGGAGAGGGACAGGAATAATGGGAGAAAAACCAAAAGAGGACAAATAAGGAAGTGGAGCTTGTTCTGAGTCCTGTGTATTTTGTGCAGCTTACTACACTCCTGGGGGGCTCAGAGCCCTGATCATAAACCAGAGAGCAGCAGGCAAATCACAAGAAGTGCAGACACAAGCACTGGCTAGGAAAATGTGGATGGAGGTGAAGTCCTCTTCACTTGAACCAGTGAATAGATACTCACTCTTTGCTGAATTCATCAGTTTCATTGCTGAATTTTCAGCCTTTCAGCCACTGAGAGTTCTGTCTTTCTCCTCAGTGGACTTAGGGCAGCATCTCTTTCAGGTGTTGAAGCAGAGGCCGAGGTTTGTTGCCTTGAAGAAGCAGCCCTCGTACATCGGCGGGGAGAACCTGGAGCTGCGCGATTACCAGCTGGAGGGCCTCAACTGGCTCGCTCACTCCTGGTGCAAGTATGTACAGAGCCTGGGGTGTTCATTCTGCAGCTTTTCTGTCCCTCAAGGATTTGGCACACCTCCTTTTCAAGTGAGGTCTTTACCCGCCCTCCTTCTGCAGCTTGGAGGGTTTCAAATGTTACCGTGCCCAGCTGCATCACAGACAGTGCAAGCAGGAACTACCTAAAGCATGAACTTAAGAAACCTTGTGTGTAAACAAAAAGCATTTTCCCTGTCTGGGCCTGTTCACATGATGGATTTGGCTGAGCCTGGTACATATAAGCCCTAGATTTCCATTGACTTAATGGGAAAAAATGGTTTCTGGCTCAGTGTGCTTATATATTTATTGAAGTCTTTGAGAGATGTCCTCCTAAAATTAGGCCACTGATTCCCCTCTGCCTTTGCCTGTTTTCCTTCAGTTTGGAGTCATCATAGTTAATTTTTGCACATTATTGTGCCATGTTCATTCTGGCTGCCTCTGGGATCCACTTGGAAGTGTTCAAATAACTGTTTTTGCACTGCCCCTCTCTGTCCTTGTTGTGGATTGCTGTTCATGTGGCAGAAACGTGCACTCAGACAGCATTTTTGTTTGTTCTCCTCTTTCTCAGAAACAACAGCGTGATCCTGGCTGATGAAATGGGACTGGGCAAGACCATTCAGACAATATCATTCCTGTCATACCTGTTCCATCAGCACCAGCTGTATGGCCCTTTCCTGGTGGTGGTGCCCCTGTCCACCCTCACCTCCTGGCAGAGGGAGTTTGAAGTGTGGGCACCTGAGATAAACGTGGTGGTTTACATTGGAGACCTCATGAGCAGGAACATGGTGTGTAATCAGAGAGCAAAGGGTGAGGGCTCAGGGAGAAGCACTGGGTGCAAAGCAGCAGCTGGTGTGTGATGTGTGTGACACACAGTGAGCTGGAGAGGCTGGCAGATAGTGCTGGCAGCACTGCAGGCAGCTGGAGCTGGTGTAGCTGAGTCTGTGGGTGTAACTCCCTGCTACAGGGAATTTTCTGCTTTATTTTGCCCCTTGGAGTGAGTGCAGGAGCACTGGCTTCTCTCAGAGCCTGTACTGATCTGGAGTGAAACATGCAGTGAGAAGTCCAGCAGTGTAAAATGCTTGTCTTCAGTGTTTGGGGCTGGTCAGACAATGGAGCACACAAGTGTTGGGGCTGCAGTGGTGTCTGCAGTGAGGTGCTGTGTTCATTAATGCCACAACTGCAGGTTAACCTTATTTTGTTACCTGTGCAAGGGCAGTTGAACCATCTGTGCACTAAAACTAATTGTTCTTTGAGCACCTTGAGCTCATCAAACAGCATCTTAGAAGGGGTTTGGACTTGGTTGGAGTCTCTGGCTTACAGCTACACTAAAATAACAATTGTTAACTCTTTCCTTTTGATAACAAATGTTCAAGTTAACTTTTGTCTCCCCTCACAGATTCGTGAATATGAGTGGATCCATTCTCAGTCTAAAAGATTGAAATTCAATGCACTTATCACAACATATGAGATCCTCCTGAAGGACAAAGTGAGTCATTACTCCAAGAATGTTTTTATTTAGACTTTCTGTCATTTTCAAAGGAGAAAGCCAGTTCTCAGCTAGTGGGTTTCACCTCTTCCCTCTATGGTGATGGAAAACTACAGCCATTATTTGCTTTTCCTTCCCAGTAATGCAAGGGAATGTGGGAATGTGGGACACATTTTAGTGTCTTCACTCTTGTACTGCACAGTTGTGTTATGTTTTTTACATGTAAGACATTTGGCAGGATCCAGCAGTACCTGGATTTTTACCTGGTTTAATTTAGGTTTGTTAAGAGGACAAAACATTAGACTGAACCTCTGGCCACAGTGTTAACAGTATTTACATGTTTACATCTACAAAAAATCTTACAAGTCTCCTTAGGAAATATTCACCAGCCCTGTCAGTGTATCACTGAGTCTTAGCAGAAAACTAACAGCTTTAAAAAAAAAAAAAAAAAAAAATCAAAACTCTTGGATTACCTGAAATTTTTAGCTTTGTTCATCTGCTCTCCTGTTCTTGTTCCAGTGGGACTAGTGCTACCCAGGACCCCAAGGGCATGGAGAAAGGGGGGAATAAAGAGCTGGGGAAGGACTCTGCTTTCTGGGTAAAGCAAAGGAGGACTAGGATAGGTGTACTTGCTGCAGGGCTATTGAGATACAGCAGGAGTGTTGTTCAGCATGGCTGATTTTCACCTTTTCCTTTCTGGGAAGGCACCCTGGTCCCCAAATTTTGTTAGCAAGGAAATCCTGTGAGGGTGCAGCCACAGGGCTGGGTCAGGACACCCTGGGCAGCACACACTGCAGGGCTTCCTGCCTTGGGGGGACACACATGTGCAAGGTGCTGGGGCCTGTCTGACCCAGCATCTCCTTGGTGCCTATGTTTTTTCCTTCTCTTCCTCCAGACTGTTTTGGGAAGCATTAACTGGGCCTTTCTGGGCGTGGACGAAGCCCATCGGTTGAAAAACGATGACTCCTTGCTGTACAAAACCTTGATTGATTTCAAGTCCAACCACAGGCTGCTGATCACTGGCACCCCACTTCAAAACTCACTCAAGGAGCTCTGGTCCCTGCTGCACTTCATCATGCCAGAGAAGTGAGTCTTCTTTCAGGCCTTCCAAGAAATGTCTCTGTTCCATTCTTGTCTGTTAAACAGGCTCAAGGGAGTGCAGAATGGCAGAAATCCCTGAAATAAACTCAGTGGTGTGACAGCAATGATAGGAGAACAGACATTACTGGGGAGAATCAAAGGTTAAATAACTAACACAAGGAGTATTTCTGGTAGCAAATTGAATGGAGAAACCTGATACATGCCTTTCAAATCTGTCTGCTGTCTTCCAGACATCTCTAAAAAGATAAATTTGTTTTAAGCAATCATTTCTGCCATTTCTGAGGTTTCCAGTACACTGTGGTTCAGGCACCTCTGCCAGCCATTTCATGGCAGCTCTGGGGGTGCTGTCTGGCTGATTGTGTGTCCACAGTGTAACAAATGTTTTGTTTCCTTTAAAATAAAATGAGCTATGGGCATCTCTAAAGCTAAGGCAGGCATGCTCCAAAAGCTCACTGAAATTGTGTTTGACTGCAAGAAGAGCTGTCCCCCAAATTCTTTTTGTTGGATCACACAAACAGTGAAGGAGAGGCTTGAAGTTTCCCAAGTGGAGGAGAGCAGATCTCCACATTTCAAACGAGCTGTCAGAGGAAGCAACAATCCCAAAAGAGCCTTCAGAGCAGGGTAAAACAGTCCAGTTGTCAAAGCCGTGCCTGGGGGAGGCACCGTGGAAAGTTCAGAAACTGCTGCCAGGTAAATGCCAGCAGAGTGAAATAGTGGGAAACTTGGGATTTTGGGTCCTGGGAGTCAGTGTGGAGCTCAAATATAAGATGTGAGGAAGGTATCTAAGCCCAGAGATCTTCTAGCTTTGCCACCAATCTGTTCAATTAACCAGAGCAGAGTGAATCTGTCATCTTGCACTGTTTCCATTAAACTGCTGTTCTCCTCTCTTGTGGTGCAGCAGGAGTGTATCCAACAGATGCTGTTTGGTGCCATAAGACAAGAGGTATTCTGACACCTCCCTTCTCCTCCTTTCTGTTGCCAGGTTTGAGTTCTGGGAGGATTTTGAGGAGGATCACGGGAAAGGTAGAGAGAACGGCTACCAGAGCCTTCACAAAGTCCTGGAGCCGTTTCTGCTGCGCAGAGTGAAGAAGGATGTGGAGAAATCTTTGCCAGCCAAAGTGGAGCAGATCCTCCGGGTGGAAATGTCTGCTCTGCAGAAGCAGTACTACAAGTGAGTCACTGAAGGAGTTACTGGGAGTGCCAGTGGAAATGGGCACATCTTTCTGTGGGCCTTGCAATGTGTTCCAGTGCTCTGTGCATACTGTGGCCTTCAGAGTGCAATGAGACACCATCACCTGTAGTACTGGGAGCTTCCCAGCAGGAATGTGGGGATAGGGGAGTTGATTTCTTTCCTTCTGGAAGATGTTTCTGTAGAGTGATGCAGTTCAACTGGCCAGTTTTGCAAGACAGAGGTTATGTCTTTCCTGGGGGAGTGACAATATGCACAAAGTTGGGATGCTGTTCAATATTAAACAGTGATAATATCAATAGGAAAGTCAGATCAGGGTTTTTAGAAAGGAAAAAGCATCCTGTAAGAGAAGTGAGGAGAGATGGAGGCAGGAAAGTAGACTGATGCCTGAATGAGCTGTTTCTGAAGGTTTTTTTCCTCCAAGGCTCTGCTTTGCACTGAGTAATGATCTGAACTGTAATTTTCCTGCCTTCAGGTGGATTTTGACAAGAAACTACAAAGCTCTTTCAAAGGGAACAAGGGGAAGCACATCTGGTTTCCTGAATATTGTGATGGAATTGAAAAAGTGCTGCAACCATTGCTACCTTATCAAACCTCCCGAGGAAAATGAGAGAGAGAATGGCCTTGAGACCCTGCAGGTGAGTGGTGTCCTTTGTCACCACTTTTTTTCCTTAAATTTCATTCTTTTGTTCTCCCAACAAAATAATATCTGGTGAAGCTTTATCATCTGTGGCTTCTTCCTCAAAAATAGTTCTCACAGCTAAGCCATTTGAACCCCCAGCCCTCCACTTCTACTGTAGGCAACATTTTATGGCCTTCTAGAGCAGGAGTTGTGGGCAGTGTAGAATCTGTCTTGTGTGATTCATTGTGTGTGTGGGCTCTGCTGTGTAAATCCAGATGATTAGATTAGATATGTACAACAGATGAATGACCCTGAAAAGAGCAGGTCTGTGCAGGGCTCTGTGTGATGCACATAAGGGTAAGATTGGAAATGATGGTTATTTCTTCAGTCTTTGATCAGGAGCAGTGGAAAGCTGATTCTCTTGGACAAGCTGCTGACCAGGCTGCGGGAGAGAGGCAACAGAGTGCTGATCTTCTCACAGATGGTGAGGATGCTGGACATCTTGGCAGAGTACCTGACTATCAAACACTACCCTTTTCAGGTGAGAAACATCAGCGTGGAAAACAGTGGGATCCCCTTGAAGGTGTGGGAAAAAATGGAGGGAGCTTGAGCAGTGGGAGTCACTGAGTTCCCCAGAGGCTGGTGGCCGGGATTGCAGGCGGCACTTACTGGAAGGAAGCGGGATGTCCCTTCATTGCAGTGTGGCCCCATCTCTGCAAAACTCCTGTGGCAGGCCCCTGCTTTGGGCTGTGTCACCCGAGGACAGTGAGCACAGAGAGCCTGTAACGGGAGCTGCGGTGTCACCCGCTGTGTGCCTGCTCCTGAGCATCCCCCAGCCCTTGTGACACAGCTGAGGCAGCGCGGTTATTTTTAATTGGCGGCTATTTTTAACAATTAAACACTGCAGGCAGCACAGGGGGCTGTAGGGCTGGCAGCACTCGGGTGCAGCAGTGCCTCAGGGCTCCTTTACCTTCTTTCTTTTATCACTGTGGTTGGTTTTTGCAGCGCTTGGACGGCTCGATCAAGGGGGAGATCCGAAAGCAGGCGCTGGATCACTTCAACGCCGACGGCTCCGAGGTACCGCAGTCCTGGGCAGAGGGTTTGTGGCTGAGCCACAGGTTGTGACTGACACCAGGGGGTTAGTTAGGTCAGTTCTTTTCACAAGACCCCAGGTACTTTTAAAGACATGGATATGGCATGCTTTGCAGCCAGCCATATTGCTTATTTGGAATCTCTCACGTCCAAGGAACGGGGCGGCAAGTCACAATTCCAGAAAGTTCTGAAGAGGCTGGGAAGAGCCAAATTTTAGCAGTCCTCTCCTTTTTGGTCTGGAGAATAAGGTGGTTGCTGAGTGATTCCAGTCTGAAGCTGGTTTTGAATATGAAATGACAGAGGCAAAAGAAGGATTTTAAGTGTTGGCAGGCAGTGGAGTCTGGTGCTGGAGGTGAAAGTCTCCAGTGTAATAGGAGAGGGCATCTGAAACCTCTCATCTGGGCTTGCTGACTCACAGTGACTGGTGCAAGACACTTGTTTTTGTGTCAGTCAGCCCAGCTGTGAGAAATACCTTTCCTCACTCCAGGAGCCTGGGCTGGAGCAGGATTCTTGGCTCACACAGGGATTGTGAGAGATTGTGGTTGTAGGAAAATTAACAAAAGGAAGTGTGAGGGGGGAAGAAACAAGAATGCCAGTAGAACCTGCCCTTTTCCCTGTCCTGAGGGACACCTATGGGGGCTCAGGCATCTTGGGTTCTAAGATGGTACAGTCTGTTCATTGCTGATCTCACTCCTAACAGGATTCAGGCAGTAAAAAGCAGATGTTTGCCTGCTGCCTTTGTAGGAGTCTGATGAGCAATGTGGTCTGACCTTCAGAAGTAACTACAAGGTGCCCTTGCCTTGAGCTGCTTGTGTTGCTCTCCCATATTGATTCATCCCTTCAGCTGGGCCAGCACTGCCTCACCCTGGGTCTGTGCTTAAAGCCTGGTGCTGCTCAGCCTGCATGAACAGGGGACATGGGAAGGAAATCCTTTTTCTGCGTTAAGAACCATGAGTGCAACAGAGCCTTCCCTTTTACAGCTTTTGAGTCACCACTGCTATATTATGCCCACATTTAACTGGTTAACTCATGGATGCTTTTTATTTTTTCCTTCCCAGGACTTCTGTTTCTTGTTGTCAACAAGAGCTGGAGGGTTGGGAATTAATTTGGCCTCTGCTGATACTGTTGTTATCTTTGACTCGGACTGGAACCCCCAAAATGATCTTCAGGCTCAGGCCCGAGCTCATCGGATTGGACAGAAGAAGCAGGTCAGGAGAGCTGCCTGGGTTGTTTTCACTGTGCCTTCAGTGTGTGCACCTAAACATCTTCTCACCTCACCAAAGCTTCTGAAAACACGGGCTTTTTGTCCCAGTCCTTGCTCCAGAGAGTGCTGCCTGAGGGAATCTCGTTTAAAAAGTAGGAGACAAAAAGCAGCCCAGATTTGCCAGGTGCCAAGTCTTCCTGTTGGTTTTGAGCATACCCAGAACCCAACCCATGGCATTGCACTTCTCAGCCTAATTCTAGTGGACTCTGTTCTTTCTTGCCCTGAAAAACTTAAAAAGTAGAACATCCACCTTTACTAGGGGTTATTAGATATGTGAAAAGCTAGTTTGGTGCTGGTTTGAATTTAGAGTGATTGTTTCAGAAGATTTTTGCTCTGTGCTTAGGCACACTACAGGATCTGTGTTAACCATCCTGATTTTAACTGGATCTCCTGAGGTACAGAGAGAATGTGATTGTTTTTCTTCTGAAAAAGCACATCTGTACACGAAGAGACAATGTCAGCAGCCCAGTGAAAACAGCTGAGGGATGCATTGCTGTACCAGCAGAGCCTGTCCAGTAAATAGCTGTGGTCTCTTTTTGCCTCTCAGGTGAATATTTACCGCCTGGTCACCAAGGGGACAGTGGAGGAGGAGATCATTGAGAGAGCCAAGAAGAAAATGGTGCTGGATCATTTGGTTATCCAGCGTATGGACACCACCGGCCGGACTGTTCTGGACAACAACTCTGGGAGATCCAAGTACGTGGCTGTGTCAGGAGGCAGAAATGTCTGGAGCACGTGGCATAACCAGCTTCCCCTGCTGGCATTTCCCAGTATTTATTTGATAGGGTACAGGGCAGAAGGCTAATAAATCATGGCAGCTTCCACTGATTTGGCTTCTGCAGCCATTAATTTGGATACATAGGATAAAGATGATCAGAAATTTAAAATTAGTTTTTGCTTCTGTCTCTCACCCAGAGATCATCCTGGTCTGAGGGGAACCTGGCTGTGGAATGGCTGCATTTTGGCAGTGGCCTCAGTTTCTCTTCATTTCCCCCAGTAGATGGAGGTGGTTCCCATTGCAGTCATTGTGTGTGCTGGAGCAGGAAAGAGAATAATAACAAAGCTTTTTATAGTGCTGGGTAGAAAACTTGCTCCTCGCTTCAATTAGGACAAACTTTGGTATGGTTTTGTGCTGTAGCAGTTCTGACTGAACATCTCAAAGCACCTTTTCCTTCTTTTCTTCTTGCAGCTCAAATCCCTTCAACAAAGAGGAGCTGACAGCTATTTTGAAGTTTGGAGCTGAAGATCTTTTCAAGGAGCTTGAAGGGGAAGAGTCGGAGCCTCAGGTAGTTTGAAATTGAAATCACACAGCAGTTTGTAGTGCTCTCCAGGTCTGCAGGAAGGACTGTGTGTGGTTGCTCCTGCTTTGTTTTACCCTGTGCATGAGAGCAAGTTGGTGAACAGGACATATGGGAGTCTGGAGAAGCTGGAAGCAGAGTCTGAGACTGGGGGATCAGGGTTGAGGAGAGCCTTGTTGTTAGGGATTAAATATTAATGGTCACCCAGGGAGTCCCTTGCCTTCACATTATTAGCTAGTGACAGCACAGCCTGCTGAAGGCTCCTCTCCCTGCCTCTTCTGAGCACTTCCCCAGCACCCTTTTTTGGTGGTTCTGAGCGAGGCAGGAGTCAGCACAGTGCAATAAACAGGTCGCTCTCTTCTGCCTCAGTGCAACATTGCTTGACAGTTTAGCATTGAGTGTTTTGACCAATTCCCTTAATGGCCCAAGCAGCAGAGTTTCTCCCCAGGGAAACAGTCTACAGTTCATACATCTCACTGCCTGGAAATTTTCCCCACTGTTCAGCCTTCGTGGTCCTTTCCTTCTGTTCTGTCACCTTATTTGTACTTCGTTGTACCACTTGAGATTGTTCATCCCTGCCCTCTGGGATGACACCCTGCAGATATTTGCACTTTATTTAGCTCATATCAGCACACGAGCCTGTTCTCAAAGCCTCTTACTTCCTGCTGTGCCTGGCACCCTCTGCTTTATCCCTCCTTCTCCCTGACTGGCAGGAGATGGACATCGATGAGATTCTGCGTCTGGCTGAAACCCGGGAGAATGAGGTGTCCACCAGTGCCACCGACGAGCTGCTCTCACAGTTCAAGGTATGGACCCCAGGCTCTGCAGTGTGGCAGTGTGGCTCCCCACACCCTGCCGTGGAGGTGAGGTCAGTAACAGGCAGGAGCACCTCACAGAGATCTCAGAGTCACAGAATGGTTTGGGTTGGAAGGGAGCTTAGAGATCATCCAGTTCCAACACCCCTGAGGTAGGTATTCATTTAATTTCAGGAAAGTGGTTTTGAAGGCTGTGAATAAAATGCAGAATTTACCAAATTTGGAAACAAACCCAATAATTTACAAATACTCAGCAGTACTTCTTAAACTGCACGTGCTTCCTCAAAAGCTGTTAGTCCAAAAACGAGGCAAGGAGCCAGGAATGTAGTGGCATAGGGATCAATTATGGAGTAGTTGTGGAAGTGTTGGCAGAATTCCTGTGGAGAAGAAGTTGAGGCTTAGCAGACAGCTCTGGGGTGCTCCTGCCAGGGGAGGGAATTGCTAAAACGTCTTCTTTGCTTGTAAAAGGTTGCCAACTTTGCAACCATGGAGGAGGAAGAGACAGAGCTGGATGAGCGGTCCCAGAAGGATTGGGATGATATCATTCCAGAAGAGCAGAGGAAAAAGGTGGAGGAGGAAGAAAGGCAGAAAGAATTGGAGGAAATCTACATGCTGCCTCGAATCCGGAGCTCAACGAAAAAGGTACAGCCCATCTTGAGGGGATGAGAGGCTGGAGGAGAGAGCTGCCAGAGACAATGCTCAGGGGAAGCCTCCTTGCCCTCTGAGCATCTCTCCCTCCTCCAGAGTTGGTTGGGAATAGAGCACAGAGGTAGCACAGTGACCTCTTGTTGGCACTGTGCATTGGAGCAATGGTTTGGGATGCAGCCTGAGGGCCCAGACTGGACTTGATGCGACTCATCTCACATTAGCAGACAAAATCAAAAGAATCTGTAGTGACCACAAAGCAAAGTACCCAATTGTATTGGATTTTGCTGCAGATTTTGCCATTTTTTGGCTGTCTCTTTTCCTTGGGTTCTCTAGCTCCCTGGGTGGCTCTTGCCTAAATCTGGATCCTGAGGAGCAAAAGAGATGGTGTCTTCCCAAGTTCTTCTTTATATAATGGGATCTACCCCAATCCAAAAGAAAGCTGACTGTGAGAGGATGCTCTGCTGGGGTGTGGGACTTTAAGGGGTTAGAACTGTTATATGGGGTGAGCTCTGGGGAAAAACACTGATGTGAAAAACACAGAGAAGGTTCATTCATATTGAATGAATCCACATTGGTTTCTGAGGTGTCCTGGTTTTCAAAATAGTCTAAGGGACTGTGGCACAAACCCATGGAAATCAATATTTTAGCATCTCTTAGTAGATCAAAATGCAATTGTGAAACTGGTGGCTGTAAAAGGAGGATGACCACCACAGCCTCAGCCAGCTGGGAACTGCAGAGGGTGTGCAGCCTTTCTGGGCTGGTCACACAGGCTCCTGCACCTTCAGGAGTGGATGCTCAGGTGTTTTACAGTCCATTAAATAGTGCCAGTGCAGGAGGGACAGAAAAGGTTTTTAGCTGGTTAGATGAGCAGTTGTTAACTGTCCTGCTGTTTCTCTGCTACCTGCAGGCTCAGACAAATGACAGTGAATCTGATGCAGAGACCAAGAGAAGGCTGCAGAGATCGTCTGGGTCAGAAAGCGAGACCGACGATACCGACGACGAGAAGAGACCCAAGCGCAGGGGACGCCCTCGGAGTGTTAGAAAAGACACTGTGGAAGGGTTTACTGATGCTGAAATCAGGAGGTCAGTGCTGGGCACAAGAGACAGTTCAGAAGACAAATATAGAAATCCCATGCAGGTGAAGAAAATCCCAGATTAGTCCAGGATGTGTTCACCCGTAAGCACGTCAGTGGTTAGGCAGAGCTGGTTCACTGGCACCTTTATATAATTCAGTTTTGATCTCAGCTGATGACCTTAACATTCAGGTCAGTGCAGAATGGACTGGATTGTCTTTAGTTAGGACACAGTGAAGCTGGTACCTTCCTAAAATTAATCCCTGCTGTAACTGCCCTTTGTGGGCCAAGTGGATGGAGCTAATGCTGTATAACATGTGAGGAGGTCTTAGGTGCCATGAGCTGCAGATCTGGAGAAGCCAAGGGCTCTGGCCTTCCTGACACTTTTCTGGCAGTCATCGTGCTGATTTAAGCTCTCAGTGAAAGGCAGGCTCTGGCAAAATGACCTCATGAGAAGCACTGGTCCTGTCGATCCGACTGTGTCAGTCTCTGATGTCAGCTGGAGACTGAATTTCAGAGCATTGTTTTCTTCTCCTATCTTCTAATTCTTGAGTCTTTCCCAGAGATCTTTGTCTTACAGCTCTACCCAGATGTTCAGCCAAAGATGGAAGAGAGGGAGTTGTGAGTTTTCCTTAACTCTCTATCTCTGAGCTGGTGTATTTTTAAGCAGGAGATAGCAGAGTTTTTGGGCTGTGATAGCTGCCCCATAACCATCTTAAAACCCTGGAGCAGGAAGGACATGTTACAATATGCCAATACAACAGCCATTTAGGTTATTGTGATGTAGCAGAAAGGAGCTGAAAGAATACAAAATGAAAATACGAAGGCAGAAAATTAATTAATTTTAAAAATAACCTGTAGTTGTAGCCATTGTGTCTACTCCCAGCTCAAGGCAATGTTTGATTGCAGCAACTCTTGCTCTAAAGATGTGTTAGCCACAGCAGGGATTTTCACAATAAAAATAAGACATGAAAATAAATAGCAAACCTCATCTGCAAACCTCTGGGTTGGATTGAACCACATTTGGCTCTTCTGTGATGGGTTGCTACATTTACAGCCCAAGCTTTAAAATTACTAATGACATTGATTTAATGCTTCTTTTCTTCCTGGAAAAATGAAGTTAATAATTACCAACATGGTGTGAGCCAATGCTTTCTTCTATTTTTTTTTTTTTTTTTTTGCCCTACAGTTACCACTCTCCTTTTTTTTTTTACCCCTCATCTGTCAAACACTCAACATTCATAATAATGTTGTGTTCTTCTTCAGCCAAGGTCACAAAACTCTTTGTGGGGGCTAATGGATGAGGCTTCCCAGTTCTGAGGGATGCTGAGCTGATCAGTGGGGAATGCAGGGGTGATAATGTGACAGGCTGTAATTAATATATTCAAGGACATTTGTGATATTGGACCTACTTTTTATGGCAGCTAGTTTAGTTTTTTAAAAATTTTTTTTCTCCTTAGGTTTATCAAGGCTTACAAGAAGTTTGGATTGCCTCTTGAACGGTGAGTCCCAACCTGGCCCTGCTCCAGAGGGGAATCATGGAGGCACATTGTACTTTGAGCACAGCCAGGCACACATGGCTCTGGGTGTTTGACACAGCCTGCACAGACAGCACAAGCCTTGCTGCCCTGCCATCAGACCCCAAGCACTGCTGTACACTCCCTGGTGTCTCTGTTGATGGGCACTGATGAGTGCTGGCCAAAAACCAGCTGGAGCAGTCATGGTGCCAGGCTGTGACACAGCAGGGTCCTGCTGGCACAGTCCTGCCCTTGGGGCATTCCCACTCTGCCCAGAAAGGAGAGGGAGCAGCTGTCAGAAAAACAAATGCTACCCAAAATACTTCTCTGTGCACGTTAGCCTCAGGACTGAATTTGGAGCATCTTTCCATGCTCTGTCCCTCCCGAAGGGAAACAGAGAGAGGCACCATCCTTAAACATGGATCTGCAGGGCCCTGGCCCTGTGCTGGCTCAGGAAAGGTCTCAGGGCTGGGTCAGAGTTCCCTGAATATATTATAGGAGAAATTCAGTGCTTTTTCAGCTGTTTCTACTCTCCTGGTATGAAACACAAGGCTTTCATGTGAGTCTTGATGTTCCTGACTTCAGGCAGGCAAAAGAGACAGCAGATGGCAGCTTTGGACCATCAAATGGCGTTAATGGGGAACTGGAAAAGCCTGAGGGAATACTGGACAGTCACAGAGGGTCCCTGTTGTCCCCAAGATACACAGTTCTCACCTTTGATTTGGTACTAAAAAATCCAGAGGATTGGATCCGTTTTTCTACATCTGCACTGCAGCTGTTAGACCAAAAAAAGACAAAGACTGGGTTATTTCCTGCATGAACTCAACTCATGCATGTTTTATACATTCACATTTGTACAGCACTGAGCTGTGAAACAATTGAATAGGAAGTGATTGAGAGAAGAACTGCTGTATCACACACAAAACTCTCCCTGTTCCCCAGGCTGGAGTGCATTGCCCGGGATGCTGAGCTGGTGGACAAGTCTGTGGCTGACCTGAAGCGTTTAGGGGAGCTCATCCACAACAGCTGTGTGTCAGCAATGCAGGAATATGAGGAGCAGCTGAAGGAAAATCCAGCAGAAGGTAGGCAAGGGGGTTGTGTGCTGCTGTTAGGGTGGTTTTGGGAGTGTTCCATTGAGCTTGTGAGGAAACCATTCCCGTGCCAGACAGGGAGGCCACATTGTGACTTAGCAGCAATGAACAAGAACACATTCAAGCCACCCCATCTCTGCCAGGCACCTCTCACCCACAGAAAGGAGCCCCTGAGCTTTCTGCTCAGATTGGACAGTGCCACTTGGGTCTGTTGGCTTCTACTGGACATGAGTTTTTGTGGGGAGAGGCTGAAGTGACCAGCTCATTGAATGCTGGGCCACAAAACGAAGCAGATCTTACTTTAACTGCTCCTGGGACTGGAAATCAAACTGGTGCTGTGTACTCTATGGTAAAGCTGGGTCCACAGTTAGCAATTCCCAGAGCTGGAATCACCACCCACTCTCTGGCTGTTCTTTGCTGTTTGTTTGGACATACAGAGTCAGGGATGGATTTCCTGCTGGGTCTCTGCCTGTTGCAGCTGACCAAGACTGCAGAATCAACAGCTCCAGTGTATTTAGAAGTATTTTTAAGAAAATGGTACTGGGAGGTGTTCAAGTTGCAGATCTAAGTGAGTTAGTGGAAGAAAATTTGTATTTTCAGCGTTATGTTTAAATAAGAGGTTGCAGGCAAGGTCTTGATCACTGTCTATGAAGCCATTTTACAGAGACACTTCCTTCTGTAAGAGTTCTCTTAATTGCTGTGTTTTATTACTGAGCAGGGAAAGGACCTGGAAAGAGACGAGGTCCTACCATCAAGATTTCTGGTGTCCAAGTCAATGTGAAATCCATCATCCAGCACGAAGAGGAGTTTGAAATGCTGCACAAATCCATTCCCTCGGACCCAGAGGAAAGGAAGAAGTGAGTTTGGCTAAGTAGGCAATGCAGAAAGAGGCTCAGGGAATTTGGATTTTGTAGTGGAAAGAGAATAGCCTGGATGTGTGGATTTGCTTTATCCTCCACAGCATTAAAAGTAGCTCGTGTTTGAAATGCCTTTAGGTACCGCCTGACGTGCCGCGTCAAAGCTGCTCATTTTGATGTAGACTGGGGAGTGGAGGAGGATTCTCGCTTGTTAGTGGGAATTTACGAGCATGGTTATGGAAACTGGGAGCTAATTAAAACAGATCCGGAGTTGAAGTTGTCTGATAAGGTAGGTGGCTTTGCTTGCTGCTTCCATTGGGTCCATTGCAGTGCTCATAGCAAACACACCTCATTTACTCCAGAAACAGATGTTTATGTTGGTAACTACTCCAAAAACCATGATCAATAATAATGAGGAAAACAAGCGGCCTTCATGGAATGTTGCATGCTCGATGGAAAGCAGAGTTGTGTCATTTGGTGGGCAGTACCAGGTGAACCACACTGAATTGATGCAGGCAGAAAATGGCAGTGCTGACATGTGTGGTTCTGTGCACAGGATGGAAGAGGCTGTGACTTGATGTTTCCTTGAGCATCTCACAAGAAGCTGAGTGTGAATTTCTCAGTGGAAATAATTTTTCACAGATTTGACACTGCTTATGTCAAGGCTGTTCCGTGTTAGCTTTGAGGGTATGGTTACACGACTGGGAATGGCAGCACAGCCAGCTGGAAAGCCTCCATCTAGTTCCTCTCTTCCTCAGTCATCCCCACAAGAACAGTTTACAGGCACCATGTTGAAATGATCTGGGTTAAAAATAATCCACCATCCCTTGTGTTAATGTGGTGGAAAGAGTGTGGAAACTGCAGCACAGGGCTGAGGAGCACTGGGAGTCTCCACACCAGCTTTGCTGCCAGCGTGCAGCATTCCCCTGACATCCCTGCTGGTGCTTTTAGCAAAGATCAGGCTCTGCCTGAGAGCCCTCCATGTGTGGAGCTCAGAAAGGCATTTTGCAATGGAAACAGCTGCCTGAAACACGCCACCCATTTTCCAGTGAAGTATGAAGCAAACCTAGCTGGCAAGCTGAGCTATTTCCTCCACAAAGTGTCACCTTTCAGCCTTGTTTTCCACTCAAAATTGTGCATCTGTGCCCTGCTGTAGCAATGTCTCAGGTTACCAGAGTGACTGGGCTGCTGTGACCAAGCTGTCACAAACAAATCTGAGGTGTCAAGGCGAGTGGACTCAGTTTTGCAACTCAAGGTCCCAAATATAGCTTGTAAAGGACTTTTTTTCTTCAAGACAACTTAGCTAGCTTGCAAGGCTTAGCAAGCCTTGGGATCCTTTATCTCCTGCAGTATTCCAAGGAGAGGAATGCTTGCTTCCTAGGAGCTTTGCCTTTGGCCAGACAGGGACAGTCTGAGAGGGGGAAGGAAGGATTGAGCCTTCCTGTTCCCCCAGAAGGTGCAGCATCTGCTGCCCTTTGCTTGGCCTGGAAGGGCTGCTGCTAATGTGTAAATCTTTTGTCAAGCTTTGTGCCTATGGGTGTATATATATATATATATTTTTTTTTTTTTTCTGCTTTATCAAATATCCTACCAGTTGAGACAGATAAGAAACCTCAGGGAAAACAGCTCCAGACCCGAGTTGATTATCTGCTGAAACTGTTGAAAAAAGATCTGGACAAGAAAGAAAACATGAAAGATGGGGAAGAGGTGAGATGTGGCTGCTTGATTCTGAGGGTTTCAGGGAGAGTGGTTGGCTGATGTTCCCAGGTCACCAGACATCATTTCTATGAAGGAATATGAACTTATTTTCTGATTGAATTGTGATATTTCTCTTTTAAATGATAATTAATAAGGGGCAGGTTATTACTGCTGTTACTGAAGGAATTGGGCTCATCAGTTTTCCTGCCAGCCTGCAGGATCTGCAGCTGTTTGCACAATGCTCAGGAGATGGGAAATGTCCCCAGGAAATAGCTGTAGCTATTTGCTTTCCCTGACTTGTTCTATATTTTTACCAGGGCAAGCTAAAGAAGAGGAAACCACGAGTGAAGAAAGAGAACAAGGCTCCCAAAGTCAAAGATGAGCATGGGAATGAACTCTCCTCTCCTCGGCACTCAGACAACCAGTCAGAAGAAGGTGAAGTCAAGGTGAGTCAGCCTTGGTGAACAGTGGCTTTTCCAGGTTTCCTTGAGCTGTGCTGTTACTGTCCAACCTCACCTTGGGAAGCATTCCCAGCAAAGCCCCCAGGAGTCAGAGGCACTAAGAGTGAATTCCCACAGGACTGGCAAACTCACAAAACCACGCATACAGCTCTTGGTGTGAAAGAAGGACCTTTCCCACCTATTCTTTTAGCTCAGTGCTTTAAGGGATTTGGGGCATCCCAGAATGGCCACAAACATCCACACATTGACTCAGGGGAAAGGTTGTCTCAGGACAAAGCCTGTTGCCCTTATAAAGGAGAGAAAGAAGAATTGTTTCCCTCTCCTTTTGGGCACGTCAGCCCGTGGTGAAGCTGGAGTTTACCAAGGTCATGCTGTTGCTTAGAAAATGTTCAGTCTTTGAGTGGTTTGGCTTGTAGTCTGAGGCTTTTTGTTCGTGTGCTGATCAGTATCTACCTCAGGGGCTGATCGTTCTGGAGTGCAGCTGGCACAGGAGAGCAGGGCTGCTCTGCAGCTTGCCAGCTTGTCACAGAGTGGGGCTGGTCTGGTTTTCATACCCTTTTGTCACCTTTGGGGGGATGGCAGCTGCTTGAGCAGGGCTCGATGTCTGCTTAAAGAGGTGTGAGGGTAAATCTGGATGGACCTCAAAAGTTGCCTGTGTTTTAAGGATGTTTTATGGAAGAAAATGTACATGAGGTGAGGGACTCCAACTTTGTGCTGTGACTGATATTCTAGGAGGATGGCTTGGACAAGAGCCCAGTGAAAAAGAAACAGAAGAAGAAAGAGAACAAAGAGAACAAGGAAAAACAGACATCCTCTAAGAAAGAAAAGGAAAGCGATAAAGAGAAAAAGAAGACAAAAGACAAGAAAGAGAAGGTATGTGATACTTTCAGGAGCAGCATGATAGGGAAGTCCCTGAGCAGGACATCTGTGAGACTTAGGATTCATTAAAGGCCCTGTGAGGTGAGGGGGTATCCCTTTTTCAGCCCTTCTGAATTGCCATAAAAAGTAGAAAAGGTGATATGTCCTAAAGCTTTGTGGAATGCGACCAAAACGGAAGAGATTTTGTCAGGTTGCCTTTAAAGTACAGCTGTCCCTGTGGCATGGATATGGCCACAGAGCTGATGCTAAGGAAAGAGCCTGGAGCACTCAGATCAAAGTTCTGTCCAGCTGTGATTTATCACAGGGTTGGCAGGTCCTTGTCTGTATTGCCCTTTAATTTAAACTCACCCAAATGACCCAAGTGTCCACACCATCAAGACTGTAAGTTGTCATTGTCACTGTTCAGGACTCAACAGAATGAGTGTTTCAACATCACTGGTATGCTGGAGGCTCAAATGTCTCTTGAATTTTGGGTACAGCTGCCCTGAGGCTGGGTGCAAATTGGAAGGGGGGTAAAAGCTTCCATAATAATGACCTGAAGTACCTGTCCAAGGAACAGGTATGTACTACATGCCCAGTGTCTTTTGACACTGAGGTCATAAGTGCAAAAAAGAAGTTTTGTTGCCTATGTAGGGGAAAGTTTGCTTTCCAGTGATTTTGGTGTGACTTTCATTGCAAGAAAGTCATATAGGTAAAAATGTACATGAACAGGCCATGACTTGAGAACTAGTGGTATCACAAAAAGTTGCAGATCCTTGTAGACATGAGACTACCCTGAGTCCTTTGTGAGGGAGAGATACTCTTTATTTTAACCTCTCTTCCAAGTCTTCAACATTGGTTTCTCCCCATGAGTGTGAATATCATATTCGTGTCCAAACTGTTGGCTCTGACTTCTCCCTGCTCCCTCATGGATGACATAAAGCTAAACAGAGCCATTGCAGCTCAGCAGTTGGAGATTTTGGGAGGAAAGTTGTAGGAACAGTGCCCAGGTTTAGCAACTGCCAGTAACAATAGTGTGGAGGTTGTTGGCTGGGTCACTGGGGATCCTCCATTCTGGCTCATTGCGTGATGTGTGTAATTTGTCCTTGTAAAGCCTAAAGGTGGTGAGGCCAAATCTGGAAGTAAAGGGAAGAGATCACAGGGTCCTGTCCACATCACTGCAGGGAGCGAGCCAATCCCCATTGGAGAAGATGAGGATGATGATCTGGATCAAGAAACATTCAGCATAGTAAGTATTTTCCTTGGGAAATGGGAGGGCAGTGCCGAGAGCCTGGCGAGGCAGCCAAGGTTTGCTCAGATGTCATCCAAAGATGTGTTTTATGTGTTGGGGTGTGAACCCCCTCCTTATGCCCCACAGGGTCTTCCTCTGGCTGATCTGAGAGGAGGGCAGGACAGCCCTGGACAAGAGCTGCCCACCAGTGCTGCCAGCTGGTAGCCTGTCAGCAGAGCATGCACAGGGGCTCTCTGCTTCAGCTGGTGACTTCCCCTGCTCAGCTGGCAGCCCTGGGTTACAGAACACCCTGCAGCCTTGTATTCCCTCTCTTGGAGAAGCCAAGGAGCCAGTGAAGCTCTTTCAGGCAAGGAAATGTAGGAGAGTTTTGAGGGTGACCTTGTAGGAGGTGCAGAGCTGTGTAAAAGCTCTCACAGCAAACATGCCCACAGGGCTCATTGTAAAAATTGCGTTTTAGTAAAAGTTGTCTTGGCAGATTCTCCTTGGCAGAAACACCACTTCTTAAAATCAGTTCTCTCAATGCAAATCTCTGTATTTGTCATAGGTCCTGTGGGGTTGTCTTTAACTTTCCTTCTCTGGTGTACAAAAGATCCCGGCAGGCAGTCAAAAAACCTGTCTGATTTCCTATCTGTGCACAGTGTTGATGTGTCCAGGCCAAAAAACACAGTGCTTTCATTTCATGTCTGCTAGTTTTGGTAAAAGCAAGCATTAAAGTGACCAAAGATGGGATTGCACAGAATTGAACTGAGCAGTCTTTCAGCTGGGGTGGCTGGTTCAGTGTGTGGAGGCTTGGATACACTGCCCTGCCTGCCCTGGGATCCGTGCAGGGACAGACTATGTGTGGTTCCTGCTTGCAAAGCAAATTGTTCCCTCCTAAAAGGCAGGGGCGGTGGAGGTGGGGAGACTCTTGTCTTTTACTGATTATTGTCTGCAGCTTGTCTAACAATTTCCTATTTTATAGCTGATTTCTCCTTGCCTAATGGCCAGATAAAGCTAAACGAGCTTCTTTTCGATTAACGGGGCAATGATGTAGAGCCTTCTGCCAAATTAATCACTTTCTCCTCTCTGTTGCTCTTTCAAGTGCAAGGAAAGGATGAGACCAGTCAAAAAAGCACTGAAGCAACTTGATAAGCCTGATAAGGGACTGACAGTTCAAGAACAGCTGGAGCACACACGCAACTGCCTGCTGAAAATCGGTGATCGCATCTCTGAGTGCCTTAAAGCCTACACTGACCAGGATCACATCAAGCTGTGGAGAAGGTGAGGAATCATTTTGTTTTCCTTAGCTGGTCTAGGATATTTTGAAATGGTAGTCAGAGCTGCTGGCTTTTTTGTGGATGGATGTGCCATTTGCCTCCTACTTAACCCGTGAAATCTTGTGGTTTCTGGGCCACTCAGCCTACAGAATCACAGAATCATGGAATGGTTTGGGTTGGGAGGGACCTTAAAAATCACCCAGTTCCAACCCCCTGCCATGGGCAGGGACACAGCTCAATGGACCAGGTTGCTCAGAGCTCCATTCAGCCTCAACCTTGAACGCTTCCAGGGATGGCCTTCCATCACCAGTCCCAGGCAAATGTTTTCTCTTCAAGTTGTCCTGGTTTCATTAAAATTGATTTCAAAGCTAAATCATATAAACCACTGCAAACCTCTTTATTTTACTTTGAAGAATGTGGTTCCACCCTCCTGATCATCCTGTCCTGAGCTGAGACTGTTTTCCAGAGAGGGTAGAATGAATTTGATGTTGGTTTGGAAGCCATTGGCAGTTAAACTGCTGCTGTAACACTCAACAGAAAATGTTCATGTCCTTCTAGGAACCTATGGATATTTGTGTCAAAATTCACAGAATTTGATGCCAGAAAACTACACAAGCTCTACAAGATGGCTCATAAGAAAAGATCACAGGAAGAGGAGGTGAGAGCTGAAGTGCTTTCCCTTTGATTTCTGTCCTTGAAAGTTGCTGCACTGGAAGTGCCAATCCTTTCTGCCCCTTACCGTGGGTGTTCTTTGTTGTTGGCACTGTGATTTTCTAAACACCTAAACAGTCTGAGTGCATTTGCCTTCTTTTTCATGTGGCATTTCTGGTCACTTTGTCCTGGCTGTCCTGACCAAGCAAAAGCATTGTTTGGTGTGGCATGTGATGTTCAGTTGCCCTGTGGAGTGAAAAGCCTGGGCGTGCTGCCCTGTAGAGATCGGGTATGGAAGCAGAGCTGCCAAACTGTGCTAAACTTGAGCACAGAGTTGGCTCACCTCAAAGAGGCAGGAAAATCCAGAGCCTGACAGACAAGGCCATTGCTCACAGTCTGGGTCTTTTGGTGGGAGAGCAGCTGAGCTGTATCCCTCTGTTCCACCTTGCAGGAGCAGAAGAAGAAGGAGGACATGTCCAGCATGAAGAAGCCGTTCCGCCCAGAGCCTTCGGGCTCCAGCCGTGATTCCGTGATGTCCCAGTCCCATGTGCCTCACAATCCTCATTCCCAGAAGATCCACATGCCCCCTTCCCACACCCAGCAGCAGATGCACGGGCACCCCCGGGACAACTACGGCCATCCAAACAAGAGACATTTCAGCAACACAGGTGAGCGCTGGCCGGCCAGGAGAAACCTTCCCTTGTGACCTAATGCTCCTGGACACAAATCCTGCTGGGACTTGTGACTGCTCAGGTTTAAAGGGGATGGGATAGAACATACACTACCACTGTACTTACTGCTGGGCTAGGAAACGTGGTGATGTAGTGAGGAAAAGAACGTGAGAATGGGACAGAGGAAGATTTGCGAGGATGACAAAGAAATAGTGGTAAAGAAATTCTATTACTGCACTGGCGACCCCTGAGGAAGGGGAGAGAATGATGAGGAGGATTCTAGTTTATCTGAAGGCTAATTAATTACTTTATTATACTATATTATATACATTTCACCTAAACTGAATCTGTTAAGTATTTACTCTGCACACAACTGCACAGTACTTTGCATTCATTTTGTGATTCTTTCATGACTGTCAGTAGACAGTCCCAACACACACACATTCTTGGCCATGGTTGGCCAAGGGAACAAAACATCTTCACTTTGGGTAAATAAATTTTATATTGTATTCTACTTCGGCACAACACAAGCACAGCAAACGAGATAAGAATTGTGTTTTCTTTCTCTGAAAGAAAACATTCAGAGAAAATGTTCAGAGAGTGTGAATCTCAGAAATATTCTTGGGAAGAATTGTGCCTTGCTTTTCTCTGTGAAGAGAAATGTGGCAACAAAATTCAAAGAATAAAATTGGGCCAACATAGTTTAGGGAGGAGAAAGCTAAAGGTATGTCAATAGGTATTATTTCTTGGAGAATTCAGGGAAGCAGATGGGCTTAAACCAAAGCACTAAAGAGACTCTTTGCTCGTGGCAGACCGAGGAGACTGGCAGAGGGATCGAAAGTTCAACTACGGCGGCAACAGCAACCAGATGTGGGGCGGGGAGCGGCACCACCAGTACGAGCAGCACTGGTACAAGGACCACCACTACGGGGAGCGGCGGTCGCGGGGGGATCCCCACCGCAGCTCCGGGAACTACAGACCAAACAACCTGTCCCGCAAGAGGCCCTACGAGCAGTACAACAGCGACCGAGACCACAGGGGCCACCGCGACTACTACGACAGGTGAGCGATGGCCTGCCGCGGTTTGGAGTGACGGGGGTCTGCTGAGGAAGGCAGGAGCCTCCCCTGAAATGGAAAATGTAAACCCCCTCCCTCTGAATTGTTATTATTTTGAAATTAAGGGGCGCTCAGGCAAAGATATGGGAATAGGAGTAACAGTTCTTTGTTAGGGAAGAAAATTAAAAAAATAAAACAATGCAGTAATGCAAAACAACACTGGCAGAGTCAGAATACAACCTGACACCCTTTGGGTCAGGGTGTTGGTGGCAGTCCCATTAAATGGTGGCTGCAGTCCTCCTGGAGTGACAGGAGGTGTGGTTCTGTTGGAGCAAGGATCCTGGAAAAGGGTGGAGTTTTCCTCTGAAGGTCCAAGGGTGGTGTAGATGGGCCTAGTCTTCTTCTGGGAATCCAGTGGAAAAGGCTGCCTGTAGTGTTCCAAATCTCTGATTATGTCCAGGTAGGAATGCTTGGCTCCTCCCCCTGGGCGGAGCATCTCCCAATGGGATGATGTAATTTTATCAGTCATGCAGTGACACTCACTGGCCATTAACAGAAGATATCTCCCCAGGGGGAGGATTGGTTGTGGAAGAGATAAAGAAAAACTGCCCAATTAACAGAAAATTACTGCTCCACTGACAGGAATAGAATACACACACCCATTTCCAACCTAAGACATTGCCCTCGCCTCAGCGGGCTTGGGGAGCTGATCTCCATCCATTTTTCTCTCCACAGGCACCACCACGATTCCAAACGTCGACGGTCCGACGACTTCAGGCCTCAGAACTACCACCAGCAGGATTTCCGGCGGATGTCTGACCACAGGCCACCCATGGGCTACCATGGCCAAGGACCTTCGGACCACTACCGGTCCTTCCACACAGACAAACTGGGGGATTACAAACAGCCCCTCCCTCCATCCCACCCTGCCATGTCGGACCCTCGCTCGCCCCCCTCTCAGAAATCCCCCCACGATTCCAAGTCACCTCTTGATCACAGGTCACCTCTGGATAGGTCATTGGAACAGAAAAACAATCCAGATTATAACTGGAACATTCGGAAAGCGTAAGGCGACTGAGAGGGCAAAGCGCGCGTCTGGAACCCCGGGGTTGGTGCGACGGTGGCTGCTTTCTCCAGGCCAGCAACGAGAAACTCTGAACATGCTGCTATCATCTGGCTGGGTCAAGGAGGATTTTGGGGGAGTGGGTGGAGGAAGATTTTCCCTGGTTCTTGATTCTGGTTTAGATTCCCATTTCCTTTCCCCTTTTTTACCATTGAACTGTTCTGTCATTGAACCAGCCTTGCTGCCTCGTTTGTTGTTTTGATTTTGTTTTCCTCAGTCCAATGGACCCAAGGGAGTTTTCCCCAGCCGGTGTTTCCTCAGAAGGAGAAGGCAGATTGATGCTGCTTAGGATGGTGCAGAAGGCTGTGTGCCTGCTCTGACTTGATGTTACGTGACAGATGCTGCTTTGGGCTTGGGGATAAACTGGTTGGGCTGGGATTTGTGTGTCACCAGCATGGGGGAGTGGGAGGATATGTTCAAGGAGGGACAGGAAGGTCCCTCAGCAGCCAAACTTGGTTGAAAGAGAGACTTGATGTCCCTGCAGAATGACTCCAAAGGAGCTGGAGCCATGCTGGTGACAATCCATCACTTTTCTGGCCATGTTATCATTTTCATGTCTTTATCCATTTCAAGAAACTGGCTCTGATTTGATTGCTGTTGTGTCCCCTGCAACAGAAGAGGTGGGGGGATCTTCCTCCCATCTCCAGAGCTGGAACTGGCAAATCTTAACTCTGGGGGTAAGTGGGAGCTGGGAAAAAAGGGCCAACATCCTTAGCAAAGGCTGAGTTCACTTCTAACCACCAGGAAAGAAATTGGGGTGAGAACAGTATTTCCCAGTGTACAGGGCTCAGGAATTCATAACAAAACTCTTCTCTTCTGGCTTGGGTGGTCCAGGAACTAACAGATGGTGGCTGGGAGGTGCAAGATCAAACGATGGCTCTGGGGATACTGGAACTCCTAATCTTCCTGCCAGTAAAGCATCTGGTCTTTGGGCAAATCACTTCTCTCTTTGCTTCACAAAACAGTGATCACAAACCTTTACTGTAACTGAAGGATAGGGGATGGTAGAACGAAGTGAAGTAGGAATCCAGTGGAGTGATCACTGTTCAGGGAATGGTCACCTTCCTGCCACCTTTCCAGCAGTCAGCAGTGACTCTGAATTGCTAAAAGTACCTGCACTTAGAGACCTTTTGTTTGTCTAAATTGGAAATGAACCTGAGGACTTAGCACCTCAGTGAGCAGGGACAGAATGAGGAATTCAGGACTGATCTGTAAAGATCCTTGGAGCAAATGTCTTAATGCCCAGCATGGCAGAGGGAAAAGAGGAATGTGCAGCCCAGCTCAGTGGACTTCAGGGCAAACACTCCAAGTATCCAAACCACAGTATTTAATGCAAACCAGTGTCCAGCCTGGACACTTGGCGTGGTGAGAGGGGTTGGTTGTGCACATCCTGCTGGCCAGAAGCACCTTGGGTGATTATTTTTCAGGTTGGAGCTCCCTGGAGACCACAAAGGCTGCCCCGAGCGTGGTGTCTGGGGCTGCATCACCACCCTGAGCTCAGTATTAAAGACCGGGCAGTTCCAGCCTCCTGTTTGGCAGGGCACAGAAGCTGGGCCTCCTATTAAGATGCCAGTATTTGACTCTAATAAGCTGTGATGTCCCTTCCCCAAAAGACTGAGGGCAGGTGGGTGTTCAGGGCTGGCTTCCTGACTCCAGCCAGTGCCTTGGAAGGCACGTGCAAACTGACACTAATATTCCTCCATGCAGTATATCCCTGGAAATCTGCTGCCGTCACTCCTCCCCATCCCGCTGCTCTAAGGGGACACACGGGAAGTGTTTTGTTCCCCTTTTTCTTTTACGTTGCAAGATTTCCACTGAATTCAGGGCAGTTTTGTTTCCTGTGGGGCACTTGCTGCTCTGATCAAGTGTTAAACTCGTGTTTACCTGTGCAGGGTGAGGTGAAGGCAAGTCTTCCACAGTCCCCCTCGGAGGGGTGGGAGGTGTGGAGAGAGCACGTTTCCGTGGTGTTTCCCACTAAGCTGTGATTGCAGGCTGTGGTATTCAACAAAGAGGTCCTTTCTTTTCAGAGGTATTAGCTTTTAATGTGAAAATGGAGACAGCCTCAGAAGGGCAAAGAGAATTGCTGTTTTTGTCACGGTGCTGTCACGGTGGGAAGTTTGTGCCATACTCGTGTAGCAAAGGCAATACTGGCAACCAGTGTGAGGGCTGGTGCAGGAAAACTTTGGATCCCAGCAGGAGGCATTTTCTCTGTCGAGGTGTGGGGGTTTCTGCTTATCCCAGGTTCCAGGCACGAGGTTGGTTGGGATTTCCTTCTTGTGCAACAGCAAAGGCTTTACCCATATCCACTGGAGAGCTGTCCCCATTGTCACTTTAGCCTGACGTTGAAGTCACATCATGTCCACTCATGATTTAGTGAAGCTGGAGAAGGAGATTTGGGAGAAAGTCTTCCCTGAGCACACACACACACACACACACACACACACACACACACTTCTGCATATTCTGCATTTTATGTCCCCTCAGCATAGGGACCACAACCCAACACAGTCACGGGGACGTGAGTGGGATCAGAGGGGACACATCCACAGCCATAAACTTCCCTGTGGTGTTTGTGTCAGCACTGGTACAGCTCTTCCTTCCTAACCAGCTGTGGAATTCCCTCCAGACTCTTGGCAGAAAAAAGCAGTAACTTGCTGGGGTTCAATTAAAAAAAAAAAAAAAAAAAAAAAAAGATTTTCAGCCTGACCTCTTTGGAAATGGTAAAGTTATGAGTTCACATGGTGGAAATTGGAAATCCTGCAGACCAAAACTTTGCGTGGGGACAGGCGATGTGGTCCCAACCAAAACGGACACAGAACTGAGTGCTGAAGTCCTTGTGTGAATGGTTTGTGATCCACACAAAAATATTTTTCTGCTTTCACCCGTTTCCTCCCCACCTCTGCCTCCTCTCTGGGGAGAGAAGGACTCTTACTGTAAAATTACGGACTTTTAAACCTGTTGACTAAAAACAGTAATTAATATTATTTATATTTGTGAAAGAAATGCCACTGTCCTAGTGATTTCTGATGTAAATATGTTGTTTATATAGTATGTATGAAATTTTCCTACATTGTAAAACTGCTGTACTTTTGATTCTTGTATATTAAAAAGTGTTACTGAGATTTTCAGAAGGGCCCCAGCGTGGTGTCTCTGGCGGTCCCGTGGCAGGTCTGGGGGCTGGTTTGGGATGACAGGGCCCTTTCCTGCCAGCCACAGGCAATGGATATTTTCACCATGGATATTTTCACTGTGCAGGAATAACCATGTTCTGATGGCTGTTTTTACATAGTTTCACAGTCTGTGGGGATAGAGACTTGGAAGCTTCTTCAGATGGGAATTTCCACCTGATCAGAAGGAGCTGTACATTCTCTAACCCAGATCCACCAGGATTTCACTGGGATGATACTGATGATTATGTGTTTATGAGAATGTGCACATTTCTTTTTTACCTTTTCTGGGGAGAATTCCCCTTTGTCTAGGAGAAGTGTTGCTCCTGCTGCATTGGTGAGTTCTCCTCTCTGTCCCCAGCCCCTCCTGGGCAGGATGTGCCTCTCCCAGGTGGGATGTGATGGCATCCAGTGGCTGCTTTGGTTTGGTCTTTACCCTCCACTGCTCACACAGGGGCCCACACAGAGCAGGGATTGGAGCCATTTCTCCCAAGTTATAAAAGCTCATTGTAAAAAGCACTTTTCACACCTGTAGCCACTGGGTCCAGCCCTTCCCAGTCTCTCTGCTGCTGAGCCAACTTTCAGCCAAGAGTGAAATTTCACAGCTGAGTTATATGCTCCTGAAAAATGGATTTCCTAATGGAAAGAGTGACTGGCTGTTAGCCATGGGGCTCAGCTGCAGGGAGGCACAGGGGCTGCAGGAGCTGGGCTGGCTCCTGGGTTACGTGCCTGGGTCAATCTACCTGAGGCCAGTGACTTTTTAAATGTTTTTATTTTGATTTAAGCATGCAGGTAAGGATGTGAGCACCCTGATGCCAGGTGTCTCCCCCAGCCCTGCCTTGCACTTACCCCAGTGAGGGGACAGGACTGTGCTTTACACTGGGGCAGACCCTCTAGAGGGAGCCGGTTCCCTGCAAAAAGCCCGTTTTTGGTGAAAAACATCACTCTGCAGTGGCGGCTGCTCCCGGACAGCTGGTCCTGGCTCACCCCAAGCACTCAGAGCCAAAGACCGTGCCAAAGGCCAGGGGATGGGCAGGCAGAGCCGAAGTGGGGTTGGAAACCCACCCCAGGCCCCAGGTGGTGGCACTTGAGCTGCTGCCCATCAGAGTGATGGGATGGGACCCTGGATCCCCCAGGGGCTGCCCCCTCACCAGCCCTGAACATGGTCTGGAGAGCAGTTTGAACCTCTCCCAGGTGCCACAAGGCCACCACTGCCACCACCACTGTCCCTGCACAGCCTGTGCCTTCCCCACTCACGCCCTGGGGATGCTCTGCTGCCTTGTGTGGTTAATGGGGATGAGGCATCCCTGTGCCTCGGGGGTCACATCAGCACTTTGTCCCACTGGAACCTGCAGGGGCTCCCTGCTCACTGTCCCAGGCTGGACAGCAGGGGACCATTGGTGACCTCCTGGCAGAACAGTCAGTGAGGGAGACCCCCGGCCCCTGCACTCTGGGCACTTGGTAGATGAATTTTCAGATTTAGCCATTTCTCCCATGCAAGGAATGGCAGAGGAAGTGGATTTGGCTCTTCCCAAACGCTGCCAGTTCTCTGGGCTTTGAAGGAGGGGAAGGCCAGAAGTCAATCACATCTCTGGGGTTGGGCATCGCTGCACGGATCCACCCAAATCATGTGTTTTGAGCTGGTGTGGGTGTCCCACCTGCCCTCAGCATCTCCCTGTCTCCAGCTGCTGTGACAATGAGTCCCTTCAGATTTCAAAAACTGAAAATTTAACAGGAAAAAAATGCACTTTTCTTTTTCCTCATTAGAGGGCAGCAACAAACCCAGCTGAACAGGAGAGCTGCCCAACAAAGGGAGGAATACCATTACTGGGATGTACATCCCAATCTGCTGTGGTGAGCAGGGGAAGGGTGGTGGTACCCACCTGGACTCCATTGCTACACATCTCCTTTCCTAGAGGGGCAAGGCTCTAATGGTTTATTGTCTGTATTTTCACCCCATCCCCTTTTTAATTTTCTCATTTGGCTGCAGATAAATCAAACTCCAGAGTGAAAATTCTCAGTAGGATTCAGGACAGAAATGAGCTCTCAGGGGGTCCTTCAGGTGGAAGAAAGCTGCTTTGGAGTGAGTGCAGAAATGGGGCAACACTTGCATCCTGAGTGGGGAACAGCACCAGGCAACACACGGGGAACAAAGCGAGACCCACTCGTTTATTGTCAAAAAAACCTCAAACTTTACTTGCGTTTCTCTCAATAAATAATTTACAGTATTTACAGGCGGTGACACTCCCGTGGGTCTCAGAGCAGGGAGGAGCTGGGGGGGCCTTTTCAGCATGCCCCCCCTTTGCCTATGGTTTTTTTTTTTGTTTTGTTTGTTTCCAAGTATCGGGTCCTTCTTGGCCACACTTCACCTTTAACCAGAACTGGGTCAAACACAACCAAAATAAAGTGCTTCACTGTTTGCTTTTAAAACAGGGATACCCCAACCACCTCACGCCATCAGCCACCACTGGAGCACCCACCTGGACAGAGGGAATGAGCCAAGCCATAACCAGACTTTCCTTGGATGGAAACTGTCCCTAAACCACAGCATGCCAAGGGTGATTGTTTTATAGGAAGGGGAGGTCTTAAGGAAATTATTGACCTGTTGGCACGCTGTGGCTGGGCCAGCTCAGGCAGTTTTCAAGCAGCACTGTGCGCTCAGAGGGAGGCTGTGCACAGCTGCATTTAGCTGTGGGGTAAACATCTTCTTTGCCCAGAGACAGATTTTGGCTTTTAAAAGGTGGGTTTTAAACTTCTAGGGAAGATAAAAATTTGTTTTCTCTAGAACAAAGGAAACAGAAAGTCCAAATCAGCCTGGCTGAGCATTAGTGCATTGGGAAATGAAACTGTCCAGTGCCGTGGTCCAGTGGCTGCTCCCCTCAGCACCTCCAAACTGTGATATCCTTATTTCAAAATCTTCCCTAAACAGAGTATCTGGGGCATCAGCAAACAAAGCAAGGAGCAAAGTAGTAAACACATCTTTTTGTTTCTTTTCTTTCCTTAAACATTTAAAAACCAATTACATCTTTTCATCTGTACAGTCACACGAGATCAATGCCAGGGCTCTATATATTAAAGAGACAATATAAATTACATCAACTGACACAAGTTTGCATTTCTCTGCTGCTTTACAAATGGAGCTCTAGAGCTGTAAGGACACAATGAATAGTCATGTTCAGTATTTACACCAGGCTGCCTCTTGGCACCAGTTCAGACTGCCAAACCAAGCCTGTTCCCACCTCTTTTGATGCTAGCTTGTCTCATCACGCCCAGAGACCTCCCTTTTGAGAGGAGGAGGTGCCCTCCTCCTGTATTTTGGGGCTTGTTTCTGGGAACTTCCCCCTGAGGAAAGGTGGGGGAAACCCACCAGGAGGTCTTGGAAGGCGCAGACCAAAGGTGGTCTTGGTGTTTGTTCAGTGAGCGATGGGGTGAACCACAGAGGAACGTGGAGTGGAGGAGATGGGCAGCACTACATGGTGGAGGAAGGAGATTATGGATGGTTTCGAGGCAGGGAACAGACATCTGGAGGCAGCTGGGGGGGGTCCTCTGCTGCATCCCGTCTCCTGGCTGAATTCTGACATTGCCCCATTTCTGATTCAAGCCCAGAAGGGCTTAAGGTGCAACTGGTCTGCAATGGGGTTGCAAGTCGCGGCCATCCCAGGATGGGGAGCAGAGCAGAGACCTAGCAGCAAAAAAAAGAGCACCACGCTCCTGCTCCATCCCAGGGCTGGGCCAGGCCGAGCCACAGGCAGGGAAGGGCTGGAGGGAGGTGCAGGTTGGGTCTCCCACTGAGCAGCCACCCTGATGCCAATTTCAGGGGACCAGAGAGTGAATGGTGTGAGGAACTCATCCAATGCTGGGCAGAAGTTGCAGAAACCGCTTGAATACTGGCCAGGTTTCTCCCATTGCCATCAAGAGTCCACAGTGGGTCCAGGCAGAGACAAGGGAGGCAGGAGTAAAACTACTGAGCAAATCAGCCAGGTGAACTGGCTAAAACAGGGGACGCCTTTGAACCACAAAAAATGCAGGCCAAGGCTTGAGGAACGTGTCCTCCTTCCACTCAGAAGGTGCCTGGCACCAGCAGCCAAGGAAGTGTGGGATCATTGCCCACCATTTCGGCCCCTTGCACCACCTTCTGCAACAACAGGGCTGTGGGCAGAGCAGGAAAAGCCGAGCCCAGCCCTGGTGAGCAGGACATCCTGCCCTGCTGTGCTGGCCAGGCTTGGTCCTGTCTCACTGCTCCGTGCCCTCCTCAGGGGCTCTGCTCTCCTCAGACAAAGCCATGTTCACACACGCCAGTGTCACAGTCACCACGTGCACGGCTGGGACCAGGGGAGTGCTGCAAGGGCTCCCCAGCACCCACTCCAATGGCAGCAGGAGGAGGGGGAAGTGAGGAAGGTCCAGACAAGGTACAGTCCAGCAAAAACTCCTGACTGGTCCCACTGGCAGCACATTCCTCCCAGGCAAGAGCTGGGAAGGTGGAGGACTTGCACCAAGAGAGAGACTGAGGTCTGAGGACAACCCA